TTAGCTACAAAGAATCATGATATTATGTGTATTACATTAAAGAAAATATAAAAATTAGTCAAAAGTGGTTAAATGATAGGAGAAGCCTTAGTTCCTTATTATAGATAAATTTTACCTGTCATGAATATGTATAAAAATAAAAGATGTAATCAAATTTCATATTTCTAGTAAATATTGGAGATAAAATTGATTATTCATAAAGAAAAAATGAAAATCTATCTGATCTAATCTAAGAAACATTAGAAACACTTGAAAAAAATGGAGGAGAAGATGCATATATTAATATTAAATATATGATACCAACATATGAAAGTTGTATGTTTTGATCATATAATTATTTTATATGTGATTTAATAAATATTAACAATTATAATTTTTTGAAACAATTGTTAATCTTCATAAATGGAAATGAGCAGCCAAATTTCAAAATGCTTTTAAAATATATATCAAAAGCAAAAATAAAATTAACAAAAATTTAATAATTTATAATACAAATCATGTTAAGATTAAAGGTTGAAAAATTTATAACTCAAAAAAGAAAGTTTTATAGAGAACAATAGTTTTTCATTACTAGACAACTCTATTTCAAAAAAATAGAAAATATTTAATGTTTTTAATTTTTGGAGGATTTAGATTAAGTAAGTTTTTAATAAGTTTAACAATATTACTAAAAATTAAGTGAAAATTCATTTGAAATTTTAAAGTAAGGCTTTATTTCTAAATTCTCGATTCTATTTAGTACAAACTATAATTAAATTATCAAGCACTTCAACATTTTGATACCTGTTCTTGCTTTATTATGTAAATAATCAGAAAATATTTAAATTTAGTAGGAGCAACTTTAAGCTTTTCCTTTCTTTTTAGAAGTTATAAAACTTCAAGATGTAGAATTAATTGATTTAGCAATTGATGGATTAACAAATTTATCTAAATATAAATTAGTGCAAAACTATTCTTAAGAATTTATCAATGATTTACTTGATTTGATAAATTTACAAGATTCAAATATAAATATAGCATAGACTTGTGCTTTGATTTCAAAATAGATAGAAATCAAATTATCCAATAATATTCTCAATTTATTGTTTACATCAAGATTTCGTGCTTCTATTCTATATTATTTAAATATAGATTGTTGTACAATTTTAAAATTTCTACTCAAATTATTAGAAAAGCATTTAGATTTGGGTTTTATTGTCGATAATGAATTCATATAGGCAATAGTAAGATAATGGGATTCTACTAATTATGAAAGAATTATTTATGTATACTAATATCTAAAATAGGTATTTTATTTCATGAAACATTTTCTGTCTTCAAATTCAAATGCTTCATAATATATCGATTATGGTCCTCTAATTCTTAAAGCCTAAAAAATGAAATAAGAAGAAAATTCATTTGATTTCTTAATTGATTAATTTTTAAAGTTATCAAAGCCTTAGATTACCTTAAAATAAAAGCCTTTTGAAATTCTCTATGAAATATGAAATATTTACTAATTTTTTATTATTTAATCTAATTTTATATAAAAGCAATATACTTATTGCATTTAATAAAGTCATGACATTATTAAACGTTAAGTTCTCACTGAAAAATTAAATATAATATTTTTTTAAGTATATTTTTCAAAACTAGCATATTCACAAATGGATTGATAGCAACTAAGACAAATAATCCTTTCCATCATCTAATTTATCGAGGGCATCTTCTATAAGATCATTTCTCATATAGATAATCATCTCATCCTGATCCTGACACTTTAAAATTTCAACTTATTGCATTTTAAGTAATTAAATGATAACAGTCTACAAAATGGCTTTTTTGTATTTATTTTATTTTACATTCTTTTTCATACAAGAAAATATCTAAAATTCTAAGTGCTAATTCTTTTCTGACAAGTTAAAACAAGGAGAAAATATATGAGTCAAAACAATATTAGGGCTTGACTTTAAATTCTTACATTTTATTATAGATTAAAGGAACTTCAAATTAAATCCGCTTATCAATAATTTCAAGGATTGTCATATCCATTAAAAATACTAAAAATAATAAAATAATGTCTACCTTTCCGATAATTTTAGATATTCAAAATGTGATTTAAAATGATGAAACATAATTCTTCTTATTCTAATTATTCTAATATTGAAGATGCTATAAAATTCATTCCCTATACATATTTAACTTCTTTATCCAAGTTGGAATATGCAATTAAAATCCTTTTTAATTTATCTAATTTCTCTTAATCAATTTTTTATGGTTAAGAATTTTATTCTGATTTGCTAGAATCAGATGAACCAGATAATCGTTTAAAATTGCTTTTAGATCTAAAACTTCTGTGAAGATCCTTAAGAATTTATTATTCTGATGGTGACTCAAATTACAGTTTCTAATATAATAAATTTTTGATTCTAGCTTTTTCTGTAAGCCAAAACCAAACTTGACATCTTAGATTTAAAGGAAAATTATGTCTTAGATTATAGCTTAATTCTGCATATCCTTAATCTTCAAAAGATTTTTTCATAATTTCTATCCATCTTTCCTTAGTAAACTTAGGACATATTTCACTGGATCTTTGTTTTGGTTTTGATTTTGATCTATTGGGGGATTCACCCGTTTTTATTCTTTTTGCATTACAACACATTAACATATTAATTTAATTATCATCACCAATTTGTGTTAATTTTAGAATCAAGTATTATTATTTAATATTCATCATAAATATGTTTTATATTATTTATCATCTATAATATTTAAAATAAATATTCTTAAATAAGCAAAATGAGAAGATATGAGGAAAATCGAAATAATAATAGAAATAATAATAATAGAGGATAAAAATTATATGAACCTAAATAATAATATGGATAAGTACAAGAATAATAAAGAAATTTAAGATCAAGAGAGCTTAGAAGAAAACAATTAGCAGTATAAGAGAGAGAATTTACAAGATAAAATTTAAAATACAATTAAGTTCAATTTACTACTTGGTTCAATTAAATTTCAGGATAAGTACCTACAATTCATTAAATTATATAAAAATTTTAAGCTTATAATAATCTAGAAGAATTATTTACAAAAATGAAAATACATTCAGACTAACTAAATTCTTACATATATTTGATGAAAATTTTTGGATAATAAAATTAATATGATGTTTAACAATATATAGATTTGATACTTTCAAGCTAGAGCTTTAGTACACAACTAAATGAAAAATGCACTTTGCTTTTATTATACTAGGACTCAATAGATTATATGAATTAAGAATTGGATACTATCCACTAATTATTTTTTAATTTGAAACTTAGAGACTACCAAGCTTTAAAGCAATCTAACATTGCTAATTTTTTATATGTATTGAAAATCATTGAATTGTATAACCCAAAACTTAAAAATCAAGTAGTTTAGATCATAGATAATTGCGATAAACACATATCATCAATTTATTCTACAAATTAGATTTTATTATGGAGAAAAACTCCAATATACCCAGTAGAGTTAGAGTTTTTTTAATAAAATGATAAACCTAATTAATTATTTGGAAAATTAGAGACTCTGCCAAGTGAAAATATCAGTTTCGATCAATATATTGATTTCCATTTTAATCTTTTAAGGTAAGATTATATAGTAGAATTAAAAGAGGCAATTATTAGTTTAAATGAATCTGGATTTGAAAATATTAACAGGAAAATAAATAATAATGTTGGTTTGTATTAAAATATTGAATTAATATCAGCAGGTATGAATAATTAAGATATTGTTTGGAAAATTTAGGTCGAATAATTTAATTTAGATGGAAGGAATTAGAAGAAAATACGATGGGAAAAATCAAAAAAGTTGGCCTCTGGATCATTGATTTGTTTGACTAATATTGAATGTTATCCATTAATCTTTGGAGTTATCACTTAAAGAGATTAAATATAAAATTAATATAAAAACGGGAAAATATAATTGGAATTTAGATTTTTAAATCTAAATACTTAATTGATGCAATTTTTAAATTTATTTTCTTAAAAAACAATACTAATTCAATCTGAAGGATTAATTGATCCTATACTCTATTATTTAGAATCATTAAAAAAAAAATAGAGCCTACCTTTTTCTTAAATAATTATTCAAAATTAAAATGTAGTATCATATCCTCTGTATTTAAATGATAATTGCATTTTTAATATAGATCTTTCTTATAATGATTATTATTAGGGATATAAATTCAATATATATTAATAAATTTGGCCGTAATTACAAACAACTTTAGATGTATCATAAGTAAATGCTATTTAATTAATGCTTTAAAGAGAAGTGGCTTTAGTTTAAGGTCCACCAGGAACAGGTAAAACATATTGTGGTGCTCTAGCTGTTAGAATACTATATGAAAATTTACAAAAAAAGGATTTCCCAATTTTAATTGTTTGCTATACAAATCATGCTTTGGATTAATTTTTAGAACATATTATAAAATTTGTACCTATCGAATATGTTGCAAGATTAGGAGGAGCTTCAAAAAATCCTATATTAGAATAATGTTAAATTAGATGTAGATAAAAAGTTAACTTTGAGTTTTAAGATTTCAATAAATTAAAAAAGAAAATGAGTAAAATAATTGAAAGAATGCTATACTATAAGTATAAAATTATGCCAAAAGATATATAAACATTCTGGCCTAACTTGTATGAATAATTAATTTTTTATTTTATTTAAGATAATAACTTAGATAAAAATTTTGATTTTAATTAGAACACAGCAGAAGAATTGGTTAAAAATTGGATTAATTGTTAAAAACCTTAAGATGATATTATTATTAATGGTTATTTAAATGGAATGAATCATTATTTTACAATGAATCAGATTCATGGCATAAGTTAATAATTCTAAATTTTACAAAAAACTTCTAATCTAAAAAAAAAATATCATGATAGTTCCGATGAAGAAATAGATGAATATTTAGATTCAGATGAAGAAAATATTTACAATAATTATTCTTAAAATAATCTCAATTTTAATTCATTTGATGTAGAAAAAGCTATTATAGAATTTAACTATCTCAATTAAAATTAAAATTAACTGCATTATGATTATTGTTCAATTGAAAAAATAAAAGCTTATGTTAATTCATAAAAGGGTAATCCTTGGAAATTAAATCAAAAAGATATAAAAGAGATTTTAAAATATTTATAATGTTTAAGATATTAAAATGATAGTATTAAATTTCAAAATTAATACAAATAATTTTCTGAATAATCTAATAAATTAAAAGAATTATAAGATGAGAATGAGATTTAAATATTAAATAGCATGAAGATTGTAGGAGTAACAGTTACAGGTGTAGCTAAATAAACAAAAAAATTATAATAATTAAATACAAAGATTATGGTTATTGAAGAAGCTGCAGAAGTGCTAGAATCTCATATAGCAAGTATATTAACATCAAATTTGTAACATCTGATACTTATAGGTGATCATTAATAATTAAAACCTACTTTAAAGAATTACGCTTTATAGGAGAAATTTAAAGCAAATGTATCATTATTTGAAAGATTATTTCTTAATAAAATTCCTAGTGTTACTTTATCATCATAAAGACGAATGAAAACAAAGTTTGCAGATTTTATACGTTAAATTTATGGATAAACTTATGAAGATCATCCAGATATATTGAAATTGAATGAAAAAGAAATAATAGGTTTGGAGAAAGATCTAGTATTTTTTAATCATAATTGGCTTGAGGAAGAAAATGAAAATTCAAAAGAAAATAAATAAGAAGCATAAATGATTTATAAAATGGTGTTATATCTATTGGATTGTGGTCATTAATAAAATTAAATAACTGTATTAACCTTATATTTGAAGCAAGCATAAGCTTTAAAAAGACTATTCGTAAAATAAAAATCTATAAAAGTATAAACAGTAGATAATTATTAAGGAGAAGAAAATGATATTGTCATTATATCATTAGTGAGAAATAACAAGAACAATAATTTAGGTTATATAAAAATAGAAAATAGAATAAATGTAGCATTATCAAGAGCAAAAATAGGTTTATATGTATTTGGAAACTTTGATTTTATTTTAAAAGCTTCATCTCCTGGATGTACATGGTAAAAAATGATACTTTTAGCTTAAAAAAAAAATTGTTTGAATGATTACATAAATACGAAATGTATACCGCATGGTAATTGTTAAATAATAAGAAGACCAGAAGATTGGAATAAAATTAAGCCACATCTTTGTGATAAATAATGTTTAAAAAATTATCAAAATTGTAATCACCTTTGTGATAAGAAATGTCATCTTAATGATAGTCATCAAGCTATAAATTGTCCATTTTAATGTGATAGAATAATTAATTGTGGTCATAAATGTAGATATTTATGTAGAGAGAAATGTGAATGCATAGAAATAGTTGAATTCACTTTGCCTTGTGGTCATAAAATAAAAGATAAATGTGGTACTGATCTTAAAACTTATAAATGTTAAGAAAAACTATAAATTACATTTTCTAAATGTGATCATAAAACAATTTATACATGTTCTGAGAGATTAAAATATACAAAAGAATGTTTGAAAAATTGTTAAAGAAAACTTTTATGTGGACATATTTGTAATAAAATATGTTCATAAAATTGTGAATTATGTGAATAGGAATGTTAAAAGTAAAGACCATGTGGACATAAAAACAAATGCAAAAATAAATGTTACTAAATTTGTACACCTTGTGATACTCTAGTTGAAACAAAATTAATTTGTGGTCATTAATCAAACTTTGCTTGTTATTCTTTAAATAAAAACATATAAAATTATATTTGTTAATAAGATTGCATTAAAAAAAGAGAATGTGGTCATGATGATTAGATTTGTAAAAATAAATGTAATTAATTATGTTCTCTATGTGAAAAAATAATTACAAGATAATTAAAATGTGGACATGATATTTAAGTAAAATGTTGCTAATCTGATATTGAAGTTTAAAAAGAAAAATGCATGAAAGAGTGTTAGAAAAAAAGAGATTGTAAACATGATTCAATTTGTTTAAATAAATGCCATGAATAATGTTCACCTTGTTTAAAATTAATTAAAAAAACATTAATTTGCGGACATTCAATCTAAATACAATGTTATAAATCAAAAGAAATTTATTTATGTTAAGATAAATGTGAAAAAATAAGACCATGTAATCATAATTAGAAATGTACAAATATATGTTCTAAATAATGTTCTCCTTGTAATGAAATTATTAAACATACATTTCCATGTGGTCATACTCATGAATTCTTTTGTCATTCATATTAAAGCTAAATAGAAAACTTTATATGTTCTAAATCATGTTTATTATAAAGAAGTTGTGGACATGATAGTCCTTGTTTATCTAAATGTTATGAAAATAAATGTTCTCCTTGTTAATAAATAGTAAATAAAAAATTAGATTGTGGACATCTAATTTAAGTTGAATGTTTTCGATTTAATAAAATTTATAAATGTAAATAACCCTGCAATAAAATTAGAGAATGTGGTCATATCTTTCCATGTTCTACATTATGTAGTGATGAATGCTAACCTTGCAAATTAGAGCTTTTTAAAAATTTACCTTGTGGACATAAACATTTAGTTAAATGTTATTAATATGAATAACCAATAATTTGTAAAGAAAACTGTATAAAAATTAGAGAATGTGGTCATTTATATCCATGCACAAATTAATGTAATTAAAATTGTACAAACTGTAAATAGATAGTTTAATTAAATCTCAAATGTGGACATGAAATTGATGTTGAATGCAGTTAATCTCAATTCTTTTATTAAAATTATAAATGTTAGAAATAATGTATAAAAACAAGGGTCTGTGGTCATAATTATCCTTGTTTTAATATGTGTTTTAAAACTGATGAATGTACTCCATGTCAAGATAAAATTTTTAAGTTTTTAGATTGTGGTCATTAATCCTAAATCTTATGTTATTAATCAATATTAGATCTAAAAATTTAATGTGATCTACCATGTAATAAAAAGAGATCTTGTGGACATAATGTAGCTTGTGATAAATTATGCTTTTAACCTTGTTCTCCGTGTACTGAATAATGTGAGTATGTTTTTAAATGTGGCCATTAATCATCTATTATGTGTTATTAGAAATAAGATGAAACCTTTTTGAAGAATTTTGCTTGTATGCATCCATGTAACAAAAAAAAAATTTGCGGTCATAAAACTATATGCACTTAAAAATGTTACTAATAGTGTGATCTATGCTAAAACGAAATATAATTAATTCTTAATTGTGGGCATCTTAAATAAACTATTTGTTCTGAAAATCTAAACACTTTAAAGTGTTCTTAACCTTGTCTAATACCAAAATAATGTGGTCATCCTTGTAAATAAATATGTGGAGAATAATGTTAAGAATGTGAGGAAAATATCACTAAAAGATTCCCATCATGTTATCATCAAAAAATTATCAAATGTTATTAAAAGAATTTATATATGGTTTGTGAAGAGCTAGTTCCAGTTAAGTATTCATGTGATAAACATACAATGAATATTTCTTGTTTTTAGGCTTAAATTAAATTAAAACAATGCCCAGAATGCACAAAATGCAATATATTTTGATTTGATAAAGTTAATTAATTATTTTTTAATTTTAGAATAAATATATTCATTTTTGTTGATTGAATAAAGTATATTACTAACTTAAAGGGCTAGTACACATTCAAATACTATTTTTATTTTTTCTATTCGTCTAAAAATATATTTATGTGAAGTAACAGATAAAAAGCTTAAATAAAATAAATTTTATTCAGTTTATATGTCGAATATAATATTTATTGATTAAAAATTCAGTATTAAATTTATATTTTAAAATAAAAGAATATCTTAAAGGTTTTTCTTTAGGGAATTTGTAATTTAAAATTTATAAGTAGTTTATTTTATTGAATAAGAGCAGGTTTAGCAGAGTTTTTACAGAAAAAGGAAATTGAAAATAAAATTTATTATATATTAATCATTTAAAGAAATGGGTATATGCTCTGGAAAATAGTAAACGATTAGACAAAGCAAGAAACAATAGAGTGAAATAAAAAGATTTGCTAAACAAAATATAAGATAGTTCTACCGATTTGGAAAGGTTTTAGGATCAGGAAGTTTTGGTACTGTAAAAGTGGGTTACAGTGTCAGAGATTCAAAAGCTTTTGCAATAAAGACAATTCATAAAGTAAACTCGATGGTCCAAATAGTATCGAATGCGAGAATAATTCTACCTAGTTTTAAGAGAGTTAGACATCCTTACACAATTGGATCATCCGAATATTATAAAAGTTTTTGAAGAATATGAAGATGACATGTATTATCATTTTGTAATGGAATATTGTAGTGGAGGTGAATTATTAGAAAGGATAGTAGAAAAAGGTATTTAAAACAACAATATATTCAATATTTAGGTTATATTGGAGAATCTGAATCTAAATAGATTATGTAACAATTGTTTTCAGCAATAAACTATCTTCATTCTATGGGAATTGCTCATAGAGATTTAAAACCAGAAAATATTCTTTTTGCTTCAAAGGAAAAAGATGCACCAATTAAAGTTATAGATTTTGGTCTTAGCAAGAAATTTAGAAATATTAATTAAAAACTTTAAAGAATGAATAGTAAAGTAGGAACTCCAATTTATGTTGCACCTGAAATTATAGCTGGAGAGTATTAAATATAATTTTATTATTTATAGTTATTCTTTTTAATGTGATGAATGGTCTCTAGGATGTATTATGCATGTATTATTATGTGGAAATCCTCCATTTTAAGCTAAAAAATTAGATATGTTAGAAGCTAAAATCAGATATTCTGATGTTGATTTCTCTTTTTCTGTATTTGATCACATTTCTTCTGATGCAAAGGATTTAATTAAAAATTTATTAATTAAATAACCTAAAAAAAGAATTACATGTGAAAAAGCTTTAGAACATTAATGGTTTAAAAATATGAAATTAAGTACTCATAAACCTTTGTCTAATAATGATCATTAAAAAATTATTAGATTATTAAATACTTATGCTAATTCATCTAAATTAAAAAAAGAAACACTCAAAATTTTAATTAATCAACTTACAGAAAGTTAAATTTCTTAATTAAAAGATGTTTTTATTTCTTATGATAAAGATTGTAATGGTACTGTCTCGATTTAAGAAATTTTACAAATTATGGCAAATCTAGGTTTTAAAAAGAGTGAAGAAGAACTTATTTAATTAATCAAGAAATTTAATAATATTAATCCTACTAATGATGATATTACCTAAAATACATAAATTACTTACACTTCTTTCCTTAGTGCATTAGTCAATTGCAAAAGTTTTTTAAATAAAGAAAGATTATGGAATCTATTCAAATACTTTGATAGTGATAATAAAAACTTTATTACTATTGAAGATGTGAGAAAAGCATTCGAAAGAGAAGGAAGACAACTATCTTAATCAAAATTGATTGCTTTATTTTAAGAAATTACATAAAATGAAGACCAGAAAACTATTGATTTTGATTAATTTTGTCAAATGATGTAAGACAATCTATATAACAGTAATAATAATGGTGAAAATTTGGAAAAAGAATTAGATTGCTTTCAAAATTGACAAATATTAAATATATTTAACTATATTTTTTATTCTAAGTATCTTTTAATTTTGAAACTTAAAAATAATATGTTGTTTTTTTAAATTATATTATTTCAAATTTTGAGATAATTTAATTTATAAAATTTTTGATAAATTATCAAACTTCACAAACCAATTCAACAACATCAAAAATCATTTCAAAAGATAGATTAAATATAGATCCTTATTGTAACTGATATGGTGAACTATTTAATTGTTTTTCACTTAATCTCAACCATGTTCCATTCTTACTCTCTAAATCATTTATCATTAATTTTACACATCCTATTTTAAAATTATAATCATAATTAATTTCTAAATGTCTTGCACTCATTAATTTATTGCATCTAATAAATTAAATTATAATTAAACTAAGAATGCATAAAAGTAAAATTATTTTTTGATCTTTCTCTTCCTATTAAAAATTTATCTCCTTTTTTTAATTATATTAATTTGTGTTTTGCTTTTCCTTCATGTTCATATCGAACTTCTAAAAAACCTGTATCTGTATTTATATCCATTATTTTAAATGCAAATCTATTTCCTATATAAAATGACATATCTTTTTCAATCACAAAACTATTATTTATTTTTATAAAGGTTCCACCTTTTGATCCTATATCTATTAAATAAAAGGCTTCTTTTCTATTTTTAAATTTATATACTTTCTTTATAAAATATTTAACAATGTTTGCTACTAATTTTGGAATGATCTGTAAAAGCAAAAGTGCATTCATCACTTCTACCAAAATAAGCACCTTAGATATTTATTATTTTAAGCTATAAGAATATGATATTATTTTTTTTTATACTTTTTATTATTCATCGCATTTTACTTTTAAATGAGTTGATTAAAACAATTAAAATGGATCAAAAATTGGAACTAAACTTAGTTTCTAAATTCTTGATAAAATTTATTCTTTGAACGATTTAGGTTATTAAATCTAAAATATTTATAGTACTATAAGTACTCTACTCTTTTATGATCACATTCTTCAATTATTTAATTTATTTGAATAGACTTATCTAAAACTTATGAATGCTATAATAGTTCAGGTAATTGTAGTATTATTGATGATTATAAAAAAGTAGACTATTCCAAAAGTACTGATTCTTACATTTAATTTAATTGCTATTTTTATTATTATTAAGTTAAAGCAGAATACTATTACAATAAAACTGATTTCATCATAAAAACAGACTCTTACAATTATTTATTTTCAAACTCTTCCTAATTTTGTTAATTCGGTAATTCCTAAATTTATTCTTCCTAAGATAAATTAACATTTCCATTCAAATCTATATCCTCTTCAATTTAAACTTTAGTCTCTATGTATTTTAAATCTCTATCTTATTCATCAATATAATCTTATCTAATTAAAATATTTCTAAAATTACATCAAAATTAACTCTCTTATATCTTTATTAATTTCATCTGTTATAATACCTTATTATATATTATAATCCTTAAATTAGGTCAATTATTTATTATTTTATAATTAAATTGAATAATTTGTAAATTAAGTTACATTAGGATGACTAAACTATTTCTTGAAATTTGAATCTATACTTTCCTCAGTCAATTTAATTTACATATCTTTAGGGTTTATCATTTCTGTTTTATGTCTCTCCTTTAATTCTAATTAAAATTTATCAAATGACTTTGGTAATATATCTTATTCAAAAATATCAGATAAATTTCTATTTAATTATAATATTTTTGAAGTTTTTGGAAAATAATATAATGATAACCATTGTATTTCACTTACTTTTCTTTATCCAAGATTTTTATATTCATTATAAAATTCTTAATTTTTATAAACTGTAAAACTCAAAATTTACAATAAATAATGTAAAAGATGAGCTAATTAATTAATTTGGTGATATTTACTAACAGTTTACATATTATTTTTTACCATAGTTTATCTATTACTAACTAAATCATTATATGTCTTTTGAGTAAAATCTTAATTTAATAATAATGATTTAAGAAATTGATTATCACCTTAGAAAGGAGGATTCACTAATAATAGCAAAACGAATCCATCAATCTAATTCTGATAGAGCAATTAATAATAATCTTAAAATTTAATCACATATAATAAGACTTTTATATCATCCATATCCCAAAATAAAGGTGATTAATCAATTTAAGGTAGGTGAGATATCGATTTAATTAGTAAATTAATGATATCAGAACTTATAAACATAGAATATCTTCTTTTATTATTCTGATGATTTGGCAATTCATAAATACTCTTTATATAAATTTCTATTTCATATATGATATTAGATAAAACTGAACAAGAACAACTTATTTCTGCAGAACAGTTTTTACATTTCTATTAGAAGAATAATTTTGATCCATATTGTTTTTTCAAAATTTCTCTATAATTTTGATATTTTAATAAAATAAGTGACCAAATCTTCAACTTTTAAATCTAATAATAAAGATTTATATCTATTGAATGACTAATCACTTTAAATACACCTTAGGAATTACATATTTAAAAAATCTGTTCATATTATTTTGTACAAATATCAAGTAATGGAATTTATAACTTTTATCCATCTTATATAACTTCTTATTAGTAATTCTATGATCTTTATTTTGGAATTGTTTGGATCTAATATCAATTATTGTTGATTTACTGTGACAATTGGAATTGCCCAAGTTAATCCAACAGATTCTATAAAATTATGCACATGTTGTTCATTCCATTTGTAAGGAGCATATTTAAATTTTTACAGTAACCAAGAAACAATATTATCTAATTATCTGATATTCATAATATATATTAATATTATTTATTACTATTAACTAATCTTGTTTCAAAAGGAATATTGTTTCATAAACAAAAATTCATCTAATTCAAGCTTTTTGCTCTGCTTATTTTTCTAAATATAATAGATTGTTATCTAAGAATTTTTTCAAGACTTAGTGCTTGATATATTAAAAATAAAAAAGTTGGAAAAACTATTTATTAAATTAGTGACAAACAAAATTTTAAAACAAAATAAATTAGTATTTTTATAAATGAATTTTACTTAAACTCAATTTTTATAAATATATTTTACTAACTTTTTCAGAAGATTTAATTAATTTATAATCCCTTCTCTTAATGAGCATAAATCATCAAAGATTTATCAAAAAATCTTATTTTTAAAAACTATGAGTTCGAGATCCACATTAAATTCAGAGTTAGTCTAACATTTTAACATACCTGTGAAGGGATTAACACCTAAAATGCAAATTCTTCTAGTAAAATATTCACTCATAAATTTTTTGTAACATTTTTAATTAGAGCAACACATTTTTTTAATAAAGAATTTATTAAAGAAAAAATATTTTTAGACTGCTATTCATTAACAGGTTTCGATTTAGAAATTTCTAAAGGATTTTTCTATTCAAAGATGATTATATAGCATGGTTTATTGACAATCAATTATTTGAAATTATAAATCTAAATAAAAATTTTATTATGCAATATTTTTTATCTAATTTTCTAAGTTTTTATTTTATTAAATATAAATAAAGTCTTCTTCTTATATACTAAGACTCTTAGTATAATATTTTTCAAATCTTTGTGATTTAAATTAGAATTGAAAAAATAGCTTATTTCATAATTCTTCCTTTGAAGAAAAGTGTTCATAATTTATAAATAATATATAAATTATAGAAAAACAAATATTCTTTCTAAATTATTGTATGTAAAGTATGTTTAAGTGTTTAGTAATAATTTTTACAAAAAATTAATTGAAAATAAAATAATGAGCAATTATTTTTTAAATTCGGGACTTAAAAGGGATGGTTAACTGTAATTAGTACCTGAACATGTTAAGTTTAATTTAACATAACTAACTCCCTCTAATGTTGGGATAATTTAATTTTAATTAATCTTAGCAGAATAGGAGTAAAATATTATCGAATTAATCGATATTCAAGATAATTTAGGAAATCCTTTGATAAAAATAACTTTGAAAGAAAGAGAGCTAATAATTCAATATTTGGATAATACTTACAAATTTCCGATTCAATAAATCATTTTATATAAATTATATCCAATATTTATATCATTCTACGATGATATAAGCTTGATTACGAATTTTACAGTTTAAAGTTAAAAACTTCAATAAAGATTTACATATACTTCAAATAAGGTTGGAATATTATTAGGAAGTAGAAGTCATTTGAATGCTTTTACAGGGATAACTCGAAATTTGTAGATTAGATTTGTAAATGAAAATGAATTGAAAAAACAAATAGAAGATGAGATAAAGATTTAAAAATAAATTCTTAATGATTTAAATGATATAGGATAGATAAAATATAAATTACCATTTAGCAAACCTTTATAATCAATTGAAGAATTAGATAATTGGAAACCAAATGAAGAATACACTATTCTTCCAATATAATAATTAAAGAAAATAAATAGAACTACAAATTAACCATTATTAGTATGTCATGATATGTAAGGTGGATATAAGGAAGATATTTGGTGTTTTGGAAATCCTTTGAGATAGAATAGCTATCGTTTTTACTATATGACACATTGTGATATTTTTGTATATTTTTCACATACTTTGATTACAATTCCAAGTGTTCCATATATAAATATTTGTCATTAATTTGGTACAAGAATATTAGGAACAATAATAACAGAAGGAGATGATAATAAATTGACAAACTAATTATTAAATATGAAATATGTAGATAAATTAGTATAGATTTGTAAATTCTATAAATTTGATGGTTATTTATTGAATATAGANTTGAAAAAATAGCTTATTTCATAATTCTTCCTTTGAAGAAAAGTGTTCATAATTTATAAATAATATATAAATTATAGAAAAACAAATATTCTTTCTAAATTATTGTATGTAAAGTATGTTTAAGTGTTTAGTAATAATTTTTACAAAAAATTAATTGAAAATAAAATAATGAGCAATTATTTTTTAAATTCGGGACTTAAAAGGGATGGTTAACTGTAATTAGTACCTGAACATGTTAAGTTTAATTTAACATAACTAACTCCCTCTAATGTTGGGATAATTTAATTTTAATTAATCTTAGCAGAATAGGAGTAAAATATTATCGAATTAATCGATATTCAAGATAATTTAGGAAATCCTTTGATAAAAATAACTTTGAAAGAAAGAGAGCTAATAATTCAATATTTGGATAATACTTACAAATTTCCGATTCAATAAATCATTTTATATAAATTATATCCAATATTTATATCATTCTACGATGATATAAGCTTGATTACGAATTTTACAGTTTAAAGTTAAAAACTTCAATAAAGATTTACATATACTTCAAATAAGGTTGGAATATTATTAGGAAGTAGAAGTCATTTGAATGCTTTTACAGGGATAACTCGAAATTTGTAGATTAGATTTGTAAATGAAAATGAATTGAAAAAACAAATAGAAGATGAGATAAAGATTTAAAAATAAATTCTTAATGATTTAAATGATATAGGATAGATAAAATATAAATTACCATTTAGCAAACCTTTATAATCAATTGAAGAATTAGATAATTGGAAACCAAATGAAGAATACACTATTCTTCCAATATAATAATTAAAGAAAATAAATAGAACTACAAATTAACCATTATTAGTATGTCATGATATGTAAGGTGGATATAAGGAAGATATTTGGTGTTTTGGAAATCCTTTGAGATAGAATAGCTATCGTTTTTACTATATGACACATTGTGATATTTTTGTATATTTTTCACATACTTTGATTACAATTCCAAGTGTTCCATATATAAATATTTGTCATTAATTTGGTACAAGAATATTAGGAACAATAATAACAGAAGGAGATGATAATAAATTGACAAACTAATTATTAAATATGAAATATGTAGATAAATTAGTATAGATTTGTAAATTCTATAAATTTGATGGTTATTTATTGAATATAGAAACAAATGTGGATAATGTAGATTTATTTTTATAATTTATAAAAGAATTGAGTGATAAATTATAAGAGATTGGAGCTTTATTGATGTATTATGATAGTCATAATGCAGAAGGTATTTTAAAATGGTAATCTGAATTGAATTAAGATAATATGAAATACTTTTAGGCATGTAATTATTTTTTTAGTGATTATCATTGGAATTTGAATAAGTTATCAAATACATAAAAAAATGCAGGAGATCAAAGAAATAATGTGTTTGTAGGAATTGATGTATGGGGTAGAGGATAATATGGAGGTGGTCAATTTGATAGTTATATTGCATTATAGGAGATAAAAAAAGCATAATTAGGAACAGCTATTTTTGGTTAAGCTTGGACATATGAAACAGCGAATGGTAGTAGATCATAATTTATTCAAAATGATAATTCATTATGGTAAGGTAAAAATACAGTATCATTATTTGATAAACATAAAAATTAATGGGTAATTACATCTAATGGAGGATCTGGTTGGAAAATTGTATAAGAAAATGGAGATGAGACAGCTATTTCATCATTTGATTGGTGTATTAGAACTTATACAATATAATTAAATTTAGTATCTTCAAACAAAGGGGGTATAATTTAATTTAATGCCAGAGTTAAAGGAACTGGTCCTAAATATGATGATTTATATGTAATTATTTATATTATTATTATAGCTTATTGGAATAGAGTTATATGATAGATAAAATAAATGCATTGCAAGCATTGATTCATTCTCAACAAAAGTTAATAAAAGAGAGATATAATTTAATGCTGATTATGTTAATGTTGCTGATGATAAATGGAGAGAACATACTTTAAGTATTAAAACCACTGATGATACACTATATGTTAAATTTATAGAAGTAGGGAAAGATATAGAACATTGGGCTGGAAATTATGGTGCTTAATTTACAGGAGAATCTATGGTTTATATTAGTTATGATTGTAATAAAGATTTATTAAGAATGTTAAAGCCAAAAACTTATTAAGAATTTCCTTTATAGACATATTTTAATAATGCTGTTGGAGAAGCTTATTATATTGATGGTCAAAAATTCACTCATTATAAAGGATATTACGATAATTTGAATGATTTTGATTATTCTTTATGTTATCCAACAAAGAAGATAATAAGCTAAGAAATTTAAGATAATTGGGAAAGCAGTATTAATTTTAGTGATGCTTGGAATGGAAGTAGTTGTATCAAAATTAAAGGAGATTTATAAGTATAAAAGAGTTTTCTTATTAAACTATTCAAAACCAGAATTGATCCATAAGGAAATATTAATGCAAGTATTAATATGAAAAACTTTGATAAGAAGATTTTGTAATTAAGTTTAGTTTTGAAATACTCTGATAAAGTATTGTAAACTTTTAAACCGACAAAAATCCTAACAAATAAAGGATGGAATGTTTCATAATATGTTATTTTAAATCAAGGAAAAGCTTTGAAATCTGTATATCTGAAAATAGAGAATATTTCTTAATAACAATAAGCTATTGATGGTTTGATTGGAGGTTTAGCCATTTATGATGATAGGTATAATGAATAAATCAAATTTGCTAATGTAGATTTCAAAGATCCAACTAAATATATTAAAAATATTTAATTAAAAGAAAGTGTTACAAATCTATATGATTTATATATTTAATTAGAATTAGGAGAATTAGGACCACTTCTAAAAACTATTAGAGTATTTAAGTATATTATAAATAATTAATTTTAGTGATAAATAATGGATTGGAAATGTTAGATCTAATTATGCTTATTTCCCTGAATTCCCTTTTGATGGAAAAGAAATGTTTGTGAGATTGTAGATTATTTTAAATAATGGAAATCACATTAAGGCTGAATCTGTTTTGCCTTACATTCTTTATTCAGATTAGGTTGTTAGATTACCATGAAATATATATTATTATGCATTTAATTCCAAAATTGACTAAATTAAACAAATCTCAAGAAGACATCTCTTCTATTCAAGATCATTTGAGTCAATTACCATAATTTCAAGCTCCTTATGAAGTCTTAAAAGATGTAATCAATATTATAATCTAGTTATGTAAAACTATTGGATATGTCTTTTTTGAGACTGGACAAGTAGTTTAACAAAATAATAAATTTGCTTTCTATGTTATTAATGGATTGCTTAATACTCAAGATAATCTTTAAATTCAACCGGAAATGTGGTATGAAGCAGAATAAGGTTTTGAAGCTAAAGTAATATTTATTTATATTCAAATTTAGTAAGATACTCATTGTTTTGCTATACCTATTGATTTATATAAAAAATTCAGTTCTAGTCATGGAGTTTTATATCAATAAAAGAAAAAATCACTTTTAGTTAATTTACCTATTATTGAAAAAATTGCTCCAAAAATATAGGAATAATTAATCAGACACTTCTAAGAAGTTAAATTTGCACATACAGATTTCGTATAAAAAATGGATGAACCTGGAAACTCTTTATTTATTCTACAATTTGGTGTTTTGAGTGTAAGCAAGAATTATTAGAAAATTCTTTCTCATTATGAGAAATCAGTATTACCTAGAAAATTTTGGTTTAATGAAATAGTTATATGTGAATTAAATGATCAAGGTATTTTAGGAGAAGAATTTACATAATAAGAGAAAGCACTTTATAATGTTTAAGTTATATCAAAATCAGCTTCTCTTTTAATGATATCAATACAACAACTTAAAAATATATCTCTTTAAGTATATTAATCTGTTTGTAAAATGTTTAAAGAAAGAACTACTTTAAGGAATGAAGTTTATAAATAAAAGTGCCTAGAATTAGAAAAAAATTGGTAAAATACTAATAAAGATTAAATGCTCAATTAAGATATTAAGAAAACTATTTCTTTTAAAGTTCTTTCTAAATAACCTTCTGCTTGTTAAGATTAACAAAGTTAAACTAATGATGATTAATTTGGAAATCTAATTGGAAATTTATCTTATAAAAAAATGCCAACATTTATTTAATAATATTTTAGATAAAAGCATATTAAAGTTAAGAAAAGATAAGATTAATCTTAATTAAATAGTTTAAATTAATCTTCATTAAATCAAATAGATTCTACTTTTGACCCATATGTTTTACTTTAAAAAAAATAACAAAAAATGCTAATTTAATAGCATTCTTTAAAGTAATAAAATGGGTTTCGTTTGACAAAAACAAGATAAATAGATAGAAAATTAGAATAAACAAAATCTCAATAAATTAGGCCTAATACTTCTCAAATTATTGTATAATAATAATTTTCTTTGGGATAACCTTTATAATAATAGTAGTCCTTCAATTAGCAAATGAGTAATAGTTCTAAATAAGAATTAATTTTATAGAAAACTTTCTTTTAGGGTTTTCATACACCAAAACCAATTATAAGATAATTGAAAAGAATGTATAGGAGTTCTTCTGTTCATAAAATAGAGGATCCTCCTTTTTCTTTGATACCTAAACAAAAAAATAAAAGTAATTTAACTAAATATATAGCCCCTAGAGATAATATGTTCTATCTAAATTTATAATAAAATTATTCAGGGTAAAAAATCAAAGTAAATTAGTTGTTGCATAATTCTATAGATTGACTTATAAAATAAATATATAAATTATAATTTCATAAAGGTTACAATTATTATCTACAACTAGGACATGATAATTATATTTACATCCATTTGACTAGACAAAATACATGGAATTTATGATCCTTTAATAATTACTTTTTTTAATACACATGGAGTTTTCATATAATAATTTTACTATTTATTCATAACTTCCTTTATTTTTAAATTTCTTTCATCTTCCTGAGTTAATTTTATAGTAGGAACTGAATCAAGATCTTCCAGACAAATGGAACATTCCTCGTTCAATAAATGCTAAATTAATAAAAATCAATAATTTTACTGCATATTCTGAAGAGGAACATTCTTTTTAGTCAAATGTAGTTTTTATTTTTTAGAAATAATTATATTTTTTTGGAAAACAAACTTTAGGTACAAAAAATTTATGTTCCAATTTTTATTATAAATTATATACTACAATTTATATTGACGAACTATTAATTATGCAAATAAGCCATCTGAGATTTAAAGAAAATGTATTATTCCAAAAAATTCTAAAGTAAACATAATAATGTAATCTTGGTATAAAAAATCCTAAAATAAATTTAAAATTAAATCTTAAAAATTATTCTTATTAAGCAGAATGAATTATTAATGGTAATAAATTCATACTTAAGATAACTGGTAACCATTTTGATAGAATGTTGTGATAAATCAAGTACAAATTTGCAATCATACAAAAGTATAAAATGGAGTAAAATTTTATCACTTAATTTCTAAAACTTTAATTATTTCTAATCCTAATTTCAAAAATCTAGACTAAAATATTTTGAAGAAATGATGGAATTATGAAATTATAAAATAAATATTTTGATTGCTCTTCTTAAAAGTGATTCAAATGGAACATGAATAAATCTTGAACCATAACTAAGCCTATAGAAATCATGTTGTATTCCTCAAGATTATCTAAGCCTGCAATCAAAGCATTTAGTATTCTTAAAATATGAATCATACAACACACAAAAACGATTTTTTTCATAAATGAGTAAGTTATAATCATTTCTGTTTGATCTTTCACTTAACCGAAAAAGCTTTAATGAACATTTAAACAGTATGTATCTACTCTTAAATCTATAACGAATTATTCAGCAAGATTTATATTCATATTATTATTATTAGTATTCTTTATATCCATAGTTAATTCATTTTAACAACCTAATGTTTATCATTTTAATTAATACCATTTAAATCATTATTTTTTAATTATAAAATTAATGGTGTATTGAAGGTTTTTACATATTCAGTAAAATTTAAATCAAATTGAAATTTTTATTATGCATTATCAAATGGACTTTAAGAAAAATGTACACTGATATTAAAATTTGGTTCTAACTAATCATTCTTATAAACTAGGAAATTTGTATAAGTTTTATTAAGCAATCCTGTAAAATATCTTTCAGAAAAAACTACAAAAATTTTGTATAATAAGCATTCAGCTGAAGGATTATTAGATGAATTTTCTATTATCAATAATATGCATACAAAAGTAATTAATTATTTATTTATTATCCTATTCATTTAAGCACTTATTTATACTATTATTATGAACATCAGAATCAGCAATAAAAGTTACCGAGTACATGATCATAGCTGAGATACTCAAAAAAATTAGAACATTGATTCCTATATGAATGTATTGTGGATCATACGTCTCATTTTAACATCATTTCTTTACACTATTTAATTATTTGGCAGCATTTAATTTATTATAAATAATCTTATTAAATTTAAACTTTCTCTATTTCTTTATTGTTTAAGTAATAATAGAATTACATATAATTTAGAAATATTTAATTCAACATAATACATAAATTCTAACATAAAAATTAAAATTATTTTAAGATATTACTATCTAATAACTAAATGTTTAATAGACTAATTTTTCTCCTTTTTTCTCTCTAATACTTTAACTCTAATTCCTTGAAATATAATTAATTCAAGATTTATAAAGAAATTGTATTTTTATTATATTTATAAAATTGCAATTCTGCGTATACTATTCTCAATTCAACAAAATATAAATATTAATATCTATTATGTAGTTTATGGACCTTTAAATCTAATAGATTAATAAATATTATAGATTCTATAGAAATGCTTTTAAGACAAAACTTTTAAATAAATTGTTTTTTTATAAATCTTAATAAAAATTAAACTAAATTAAATTTGCATAAGATATTTTCATATTTATAATCATTTTATTTCTCGTCATTTCTTTTTTGTTATTATGGGAGCATTTATTGGAGTGACTTACTTTATTTATTAACTTTAAGTGTGTTTATGTACAGGGGTTTATTAAATAGGTTTATTGGGAACTAATTAAAGTTTAGAACCTTTTGCTTTTGTTGGATCTCCCACACTCATTCTTTCTGCTTAGGGTTTTAGTTCATCAATTTCATCAAAATCATCGCCATCATTCATTTTAGGGCTTGGTGATGCCGATAACGATCTTGCAGGACTTGAAGGTAATCTTTAATTAAGCTATTTGTCAAGTTTAATAAGCATTTAAGTTAATTGTACAAATGCATATGAAACTGAATATTAATTACTAAATANCAATAATATGCATACAAAAGTAATTAATTATTTATTTATTATCCTATTCATTTAAGCACTTATTTATACTATTATTATGAACATCAGAATCAGCAATAAAAGTTACCGAGTACATGATCATAGCTGAGATACTCAAAAAAATTAGAACATTGATTCCTATATGAATGTATTGTGGATCATACGTCTCATTTTAACATCATTTCTTTACACTATTTAATTATTTGGCAGCATTTAATTTATTATAAATAATCTTATTAAATTTAAACTTTCTCTATTTCTTTATTGTTTAAGTAATAATAGAATTACATATAATTTAGAAATATTTAATTCAACATAATACATAAATTCTAACATAAAAATTAAAATTATTTTAAGATATTACTATCTAATAACTAAATGTTTAATAGACTAATTTTTCTCCTTTTTTCTCTCTAATACTTTAACTCTAATTCCTTGAAATATAATTAATTCAAGATTTATAAAGAAATTGTATTTTTATTATATTTATAAAATTGCAATTCTGCGTATACTATTCTCAATTCAACAAAATATAAATATTAATATCTATTATGTAGTTTATGGACCTTTAAATCTAATAGATTAATAAATATTATAGATTCTATAGAAATGCTTTTAAGACAAAACTTTTAAATAAATTGTTTTTTTATAAATCTTAATAAAAATTAAACTAAATTAAATTTGCATAAGATATTTTCATATTTATAATCATTTTATTTCTCGTCATTTCTTTTTTGTTATTATGGGAGCATTTATTGGAGTGACTTACTTTATTTATTAACTTTAAGTGTGTTTATGTACAGGGGTTTATTAAATAGGTTTATTGGGAACTAATTAAAGTTTAGAACCTTTTGCTTTTGTTGGATCTCCCACACTCATTCTTTCTGCTTAGGGTTTTAGTTCATCAATTTCATCAAAATCATCGCCATCATTCATTTTAGGGCTTGGTGATGCCGATAACGATCTTGCAGGACTTGAAGGTAATCTTTAATTAAGCTATTTGTCAAGTTTAATAAGCATTTAAGTTAATTGTACAAATGCATATGAAACTGAATATTAATTACTAAATAATGATTTTATTTTACTCTTATTATATTTCATTATATTTTTATATCCAATAATTAGCAATTTGCATATTTTTAGAAGTTATTTAATTTTTATTTATGAAATCCTTAAATTTTCTTAGATTTTCTAAAAATTTATCTACATCATTTAAAAACATATGTAGCAAACTCCAGTTTAGATTCTACTTTAATAAATAGATTTACTTTTTCATCTAATAGTTCAGATGGTATTTCACGAATAAGTCCAGCAAATAAAGAAACAAGAGCAGCAGTCGCATATATATTCATTTAAGATGGATTAACCATTTTTTATAAAAGCTATATATATTAATATTCTTACACTAAGAGCTCTATGATCAAGAGCATTAACTTAATCTAAGACATGTTAAAATGTAACAACTTGTGGTTTCAAAGATTATCGATTATAATTACCTCTGAACATATTATGTTATTAAATTTATATAAAATTATTAACAAATCAATTCACTGTAGATATAACAATAAAAGTTATTGCAAATAAAGATAATGTATAAAAGTTTTAAACAAAAAATATCTGGAAATGCTTTTAAATAATTTTTTAATAGTTTAAATAATATCTGTAGATTCTTTAAGAATTTTAAATTTTTGATATATTAATTATCAGCTCCATCATTTTTTTAATACAATTGAAATTTTTTCTTAGGTAACTTAAAATAATCTAATAAATTTTTAGATTGTGGATATTTTGTATAGATGTTTTATTAATTGTTATTATGCGTAGGAAATTTTAGAAAAATATATCAGAATAATAAATTAAATTATATTAATATGCTTTTTCTCCCTATAAATTTTTAATAAACTCAAAACATATCCTGCTATTAAATCTAGACTGGTTCACTTTTTTAATTTTCATCTTAAAGATTATCTGCTAACAAATCTTCGTCTTCTTTTTATTCCTAAATACCATTATTCTAAAACTAATTCTATTCTTCATTTTCTTATTTTTAAAGTTAAACATTTTCTTTTTCTTAATTATTTATTTCCTTATTATTCTCTTATTATTCATTTTATTCAGAATGATTTTCTTAAGATGATTTTTCTGCAGAATGCTATTCTTAAGTTACTTATGCTTTTTCTTATTATTACTAAAATTATTCATCAGTTTAATGCTAATTTCCTGATTAAGCCACAGCTTTAGTGGTTTTTTTAACTATTTTTTTATCATCTTGTTTGGTATCTCCTTTTTTATCATTTTACTTAGTATTAGCATTTTTTTAAACTCCATTCTATTTTGATTCTAATGGCTTATCATTCTTTTTTGGTTAATCTTTTGGTTTATCTGTTTAAGGAGGTTATTATGGTTAAGATTATTTATTTGTTTTAGGTTTATCTACCTTATTTTCATCTTTTTTCTCATCCTTTTTTTCATCCTTTTGATTATTCGCTTATTTTTATGGTTAATCTAAATCATATATATAAATTACCTTAATTTGAAGTTTTTGTTTCTTTTTAATTTTTTTATTCTGGCTACTTAGCAGGCTTTTATTTTAATTATTATGGTTGCTATTACTGTTAGGATGTAGTTTTAGATTATTTTTCAACAGATTATTCTGGAGATTTTGGAAGAGCTAAATTTGAAAAATCAATTTACTGTTTTCCGCTTCATTTTTAGTTGTCTTATCTACTACTACACTTTAACTTAAATTCTTGGTTCCAGTTTATGGCTTATGTTCCTTCTCTTTATTTTACTCTTGTTTTTATTGAATTGCTGTTTAAGGTCGATCAATCTTTTTATGATCTAATTTTCCAGATAAAATAATTATTACCCTTATGATTGCCATTATTTTCTTGCTTCTATTATTATTTTACTTATTCTAATTATAAATTATATCTTTATACTTTTTTCCTCATTTGGCTTAAGCCCTGAAACCAAGCTTTTGAGTTAACTGATTTCTCCTGTAAGAAATTTGATCTGATCTTCTTTCTATAAATCTTTTTATTTTAATTCCTCAATTTTCTCTAGTAGTGGTTTCACTGCATCTTCTAAGTATTATTCAACTTCTGGAGAAATCTATTACATATCCAATTTCAAATTTATATTATATATATTTTATTTTATTTTTCAAAAGAATATACTTATTTCTGAATTAAATGTGCGTCATATGAATTTTAATATGATTTTATAATTGTAATTAATCATTCAAAATTATAGTAATTAAAATCGACATAATCTTTGCAAATCGGACAGAATTTTTATTTCATTAACCATTATTTAATGCAATCAAAGTGAAATTAATGATTACAATCTAATCTAACATCAACAGCTTCTTTTTAAGGTTAAATATCTTCCATACAAATTGTACAATTATCTGTAACATTTACTTATACTCTTTTATTATCTAATAAATTAATCTTGCTTTTTAGACCTACTTAATTTTCTAAATCTAATTAAGTGAAATATTCGTAGATTTCTTCTGCAGACATTTAATTGACTTACCAATCTGAAACCGCAGTCCCAGGTATATATTTAAATTATTCTCTTACTTGATTGTGGCTTAGTGTTCTATTTCTATCTAAAATGTTATCTTTTTAGTTTATTTACTAATAATTACTCTAAACATGTTTCTAATATGATTATTTTTAATTATTTAGATTTTATTCTCTACCTTTATTTTTTAATTATTATTGAACATACGGATTCAACTTAATCTAATTTTATGATTATTTTTATTCGATGGTCGTTTTTTTTACTGGTAATCTTTCCTCTCGAATTATTTTTTTTTTATTTTCATTATTTTCGTTGGCCTATATATTTTATTCTTCAATCCGAATCACGCATTTTATTCCTTCTTCAACTGGTTAGAATTAGCCTTGAATTATTTCTTTAAATTGTTGTTATTATTTCTATTGTTATTATTATTATTGGGTTTGTTTTTAAACCATATTTATTGGTTATTAATATTATAATTATTCATCTTTTAATTATTTCAAGTAATTATATTCAGGTTGCCTTTTCCACTAAGATTATTCTAAATATTACTAAGAATATTAACTTCTTTTCTAGTATTAATTTTCTTATAATAATGGTTATTGTTTTAATTAGTAATATTTTTATTGTTATTTTTATAGTTATTATCTTTATTTTTATTATTGTGATTATTGTTATTATTAATCTTATAATTATTTTTATTATTATTATTATTATTATTATTATTATTATTATTATTGTTATTCTTATTATTTTTATTATTATTGTAATTCTTATTGTTACTATTATTATTATTATGTTTATTTTTGTTATTATTATTGTTATTATTGTTATATTTATTCTTGTGATTATTTTTATTATTATAGTAATTCTTATTATTAGAATGATTATTTTTATTATTTTATTGATTATTATTGTTATTGTTATTCTTATTAATTTTAAATTGGAGGTCTTTTTGATTGATCAAATATTTGATGCCTTCTAACTAGGTTCTAATTATCAGAGATTTGATTTTAAGCTAATTAATTCTGTTCAGACTATTAGTTTTTGTTAGTAACTTGCTATTCTGCAACATTAAATTGGGTAGAAAATGTGTAACTGAATTAATCATCATTGATCTCTCTTGAATGTTGTCTATTGTTATTTCCATAATTTTATTTTGATATAGGAATATATTTCAATTATTAAATTAAATTATTTTAAGCAATTAATTATTGAGGTTCTTCTTTTAATTATTCGACAATCTTTATTGATTTTTGAGGAGATTTGTTGATATTATCTTTTTAAGAAAGATCTTATTAATTAAATTTCATCATTGGATGTTGTTATTTATTATGAAAAGGTGAATGATTTTATTTGGATTTATCATTTTAAACTATAAATTGATGGTTTTATTCTCTCATTCCTTCAAAATAATCCTGAGAATTTAATTTTGGTTTATTACTTAACTCAATTTATTATGGTTTTAAAAATTCATTTATTTATTATTATTCCTATATTTTGAATGTATTTTTACTTGTCTATGGTTATCTTAAAATCTCATCTCAGAAAACCTTGTAGGTTAAGAAACGTGATTAATTTGGTTTGGAACATCATCTTTTAATTAAGCTTGATTTTCAGGTTGAGCTAGTTATTATTTGATTTGATTATCTTAATATGGTAATCCAAATATCTATGATTCTATTTTATTTTATTCGATTAGCATAGCTAGCTATTCATCCAAAATTTCTTAATCTTTGCCTGATATTGTATCTGCACAAATAGCTTGATGTATTTTCAATTTCGAAGAACTGATTGGTTTATTACAGTTTAAGCATTTCTCAAATTCGCTTTCTTTATTACATATATTTGATTATTTCTAAAGCTACATTTTTTATTTTATATTAATAATCTAATAGAAATAATCAAGTTTCATTTCAAATTCTTTCATCTAACAGTATTCAAAGAATTTACTAAATACTTCTCACAATAAATTAATGGATTCTATACAGTTCTACATATACTACATAGTATATTTCTATTTGTTTTCCGAGCCTAAATTATTAATTCTTAAATGTCTTCAAAACAAAATGTATGTCCACACTCTAATGGAATTAATTTTTTTTCTTCTAAGCATATTGGGCAATTTTCAGAAAAATATATTTTATTATTATTTTTTGGAACAATTTTCTGTATTTTTATATCATCTTTTTATTCAAAAATGATAAGGGCATTCATCCTTTACATTTTAGGAAGTTCCACATCATCATAATCAGATAAATCATCATTATTATCCATTACATTTTCATTACTATTAGTATTAGACAAGAGTTAGCTCATTTATTAACTTATCAGTTGAATAATTAAATTTATTGATCATATAAATATTTTATGTTCATCAGATTATAATTTAAAATTTCTAATAATCACTTATCAAACAAATCTACACTAATTAATCTTTGAGAATAACTATTCAAATATAAAAATGAGAATACAAAGAATAATTTAAATTGAAAAGATAATCGATTTTAAATTAGAATATTTAAAATTAAAAGTAAACTTAAAGTCTAGAAATTAGATGATTAGAATCATTTATATTGATCTCAAAACTTATGTTTTTCATTAAAATTCATCATTTCTATTTTTGCAGAAATATTTGAAGATTGAAATTTATAAACTTTATACGATCTAACAGATACTTAAATGTAAATTAATTAAATAAATCAAGAAGTTTAGAATAGATAAAATTTAATATTAAATGAATTTCAACTTCTCTTAACAAATTTTTAAAGAATATTTAAAAATTTGCATTATATATATGGATGATAAATTATGCTATAAAGTGAGAGAACTTTCAACTCAATATTTAAATTGAATGTCTTTAAAATAAGAATTTGATAAATTGTTAATAATATATCAAATTATTTTTTTTTTAAACACATCAATTTAAAACAAGACATGTATTTGAATAGATGTAAATTCTTAATATTTATATATAAGTGCATTAACAGAATACAAAATTTTAATTTTAAACTCAATAAGTTAAATTATTTTCTTTTTAAACAGTACTCATCGAAGTAAATTTTAACTCTTGTAATTATTTAAATGAATCTATTTATTAATATTGCCTACAAATTGGGCAAGAAACAATATTCTGCCTTATTTAAGATTCTGAAAGTAAACTATTGATATCATTTTCACAAAATGAATGACCACAAAATAATGGATAGAGTTATTCATCTTCACATAAACAAATTGGGCAAAATTATTCTTAGAAGATTTTATCTGATATTTTATCTAGAATTAAGTATCCTTAAATGTTTTCTTATTAAATGGTCCCATTTCTTCGAACCAATTGAGGTATTTCTAGATTATCGAAATCAAACTCTGCATCACTATTTGGTTCATTAAAGTTTTCTAAGTTGTCTACTATGTTTGAGTTTTCTATATTTGACATTTTCTTTTAGTTATTTAATATTATTATTAAAAAAATTGAAATATCATAAGGTTTATCATTATTTCATCTTCAATTAAAAAAAACAGATAAATAATAATTAATTTAAATGTTTTATTCAATATTTAATTCTGATGTTAAATTCTATAAAATTTTTTATAATAATATTTAAATCTGTCTCTATTTAAATGAAATTCTCCTTGAAAGAAGAATTTTGAGTGGCTAGAACAATAAATTAACAAAGAAGATAACTTTAAAAAAACAATGGATTTAATAATATTATAGATGTAAATCATAATCACCATCTTATATGTACAATAAGTGAGGCTATCATTAATGCTAATATACAAATAAATCGAGCTATTCTTCCTAAATTTTTCATCTTACTAAATAATGAAAGTTTAATAATACTTCCTCAACATGAAATATATTAGTATCCATTAGAAAATAATCATTTTTGTACTATTGTTATGTTTTGCTACTAAACCGTGATTCATTTCTCTAAAATAACCTTTAAATACTGGCTTAGAGAATACTTATTCTTTTATCTTTAATAATTTATTTCTAGCACCAAGTTTTTATAATATTTTTGGCTCTTTCAAATTCAACATCATTTTATAATTCATGAAATCCTTTATCAAATAATTTTAAGGTTTTTTCTTTAGATCCAGCCAGTCTATAAAGTTCAACAGAATTCATATGACTTGCCACTTTGTCCTCTTTTCCATGTAAAATTAATAAAGGTTAAACAAATCTAAAATATTTTAATAAAGTATTTACTATGATAAATTAGGTAAGATATATTATTCTAATTATAAAATATTATATGCCATTCCTATACTCATAAATGGTTAAACAAGACTATCCTCAGCTACATTTTTGATTACATAATTGTCTTTACTACAATGGCCATAATCAATATAAGAATTGACCATCAAACCCTAAAAATTTATTAGTATCATACTGGAATAATTTTATTCATTAAAGTAAGAAGAGTCTTTTTAAAGATTCCATATTTTTAGGCAAATTGCAGATATGGATTAACAACAATAACTCCTTAAAGAATTAAAGAAGGATTTGAAATACAAAAACTCAGACCAACTGCTGCTCCTAATGATTAACATTATAAAAATATTGGTTAAGATCTTTCTATAGTTAATAGTATGCATTCAAGATCTTGATGCATTTATTTAATATGACCATGACTTCTAATTCCTCCAGAATTTCCAAATCCCCTTTAATCATAAAGTATTACTTAAAACCCTGATTTAGCATATTCATCAGCTACCTAATCTCATCATTCAGATATCATACATGAAAATATCTTCCAGAGTGATCTCCGTATCCATGTATAATTACAATAGTGGCAATAGGATTTTAAGGAGAACAATAAGTTGTATATAAATTTAAACCATTTGTCTAAGTAGCAACATATTTTCTTGTAACTGTATACATTTCTTCCTCCCATTCTCCTAAGAATCTACTTCCAAATAACTAGTTTAGTGAATTATTTTATTAATATCCTTGGCTTATGCATATCGATGCTTTTTTATTTAATTGTCTTACAATTTATTTCTTACATTGAATTAGGCTTAGAAAATTGGTAAACAGTTTCTTATTATCCAAAAGAACTGTTGTTTCTTTTCATTTCTTTATAAATCAAATTTGATATGAATAATTTATGTTTTAAATTATCATTCTAACTATTCTCTTTTACTANGGCTCTTTCAAATTCAACATCATTTTATAATTCATGAAATCCTTTATCAAATAATTTTAAGGTTTTTTCTTTAGATCCAGCCAGTCTATAAAGTTCAACAGAATTCATATGACTTGCCACTTTGTCCTCTTTTCCATGTAAAATTAATAAAGGTTAAACAAATCTAAAATATTTTAATAAAGTATTTACTATGATAAATTAGGTAAGATATATTATTCTAATTATAAAATATTATATGCCATTCCTATACTCATAAATGGTTAAACAAGACTATCCTCAGCTACATTTTTGATTACATAATTGTCTTTACTACAATGGCCATAATCAATATAAGAATTGACCATCAAACCCTAAAAATTTATTAGTATCATACTGGAATAATTTTATTCATTAAAGTAAGAAGAGTCTTTTTAAAGATTCCATATTTTTAGGCAAATTGCAGATATGGATTAACAACAATAACTCCTTAAAGAATTAAAGAAGGATTTGAAATACAAAAACTCAGACCAACTGCTGCTCCTAATGATTAACATTATAAAAATATTGGTTAAGATCTTTCTATAGTTAATAGTATGCATTCAAGATCTTGATGCATTTATTTAATATGACCATGACTTCTAATTCCTCCAGAATTTCCAAATCCCCTTTAATCATAAAGTATTACTTAAAACCCTGATTTAGCATATTCATCAGCTACCTAATCTCATCATTCAGATATCATACATGAAAATATCTTCCAGAGTGATCTCCGTATCCATGTATAATTACAATAGTGGCAATAGGATTTTAAGGAGAACAATAAGTTGTATATAAATTTAAACCATTTGTCTAAGTAGCAACATATTTTCTTGTAACTGTATACATTTCTTCCTCCCATTCTCCTAAGAATCTACTTCCAAATAACTAGTTTAGTGAATTATTTTATTAATATCCTTGGCTTATGCATATCGATGCTTTTTTATTTAATTGTCTTACAATTTATTTCTTACATTGAATTAGGCTTAGAAAATTGGTAAACAGTTTCTTATTATCCAAAAGAACTGTTGTTTCTTTTCATTTCTTTATAAATCAAATTTGATATGAATAATTTATGTTTTAAATTATCATTCTAACTATTCTCTTTTACTATTAATTTTCTTTTAATCTTGCTTAGATTGATTAATCTAAAATTTTAATCAAAACTAATTGAGTCTACATTGATTTCATATATACCAACCATATATTTTCTCTATTTTAATGGAGATATTGTATTTCATAATAAAATTTGCGTAAATTGAAAGAACTATCGAAAAAAGTAAATAATATTTAATAAAATTTCCTACTTTTCATCCTTATCAGGCTTTAAAATAAATTGATCAATTTAATAAAATATTATAATAGTTACTATTTTAGAGTTATATAATAAAATAATCTATAAAGATATATCTAAATCGATTCGGTTATTTAAAAACTCTAAAAGTATGTGTTATATTTTTATTTTATAAACTTGGGTTAAAATATTTAGATTTCTTCAGATTTTTACTTCCAACTGTAAAGAGATTTTATTTCTCAATCAGATTAAAAATCCTAATTATCAAATGATTGTTTAAAGGAAAGAGTAAAAAATATCCATATAGAAATAGCCTAAATGTATAATTTAATATCTCTAAATTGATTAGAAAAATAAAGTAATTTGAACAAGAAAAGAAATTGAATCTTTTTTTAAAAAAAAAAAAGTTATATGTCTACATAGATGAGATTGATGCAAAGATTAAAAGATTAGTCTTTTATGAAGATAGTTAAATAAATTTATTATTGCTAAAAAATGGAATCAAATCCAAACTAATAAATTAAATAAATAAATGAAAAAAAATACTAATATTTTGATTTGTAACTTCAAATAAAAATGATATTTATAATGCTATTAAAACTACAGAAAGAAAAGAATCTAAAATAAAAAAATCAAAAGATTCTAACATAACTGTACAAAAAAAAATTAAGTGAAAAAACGCTATAATAAAATGAGTTCTGTTAGACAAAGAAATTGAAATAGATAAAGTGAAAAAGCAATTAATATTATTAAAACCTTAAATAAATTGAATGCTTGTAAAGTTTTGGATGTCGATAATAAAAGGATCTGTTGGAGTATAGAAAATAGATGTTTTTCTTAATTAAAATTTAAGTTAAAGTTAACAGATATTTGCTAGATTTAAGGGTGATTAATTAACATGTCGTAATTGTAAAAAATATTCTTCAGATATATTCTGTTAATTTTGCTGAAATACTCAATATAAGATAGTCTAGTGTAGATAACAATCATAAAAAGATTAGTTAGCTTTTTAGCGTTTAAAACTATAAGACTATTGATAGAGTATTAAATTTATTATAATGAATTCCAGTGAAATTAAATGCAGATATTCAATTATTCAATAAAATTGATAGAATTACAAGATATTATTTTATTGGAGTATTACATTTATATATTTTACTCAAAATAGCTATAATAATTTCTAAATGAAAGCAGACTAAGATATCCACATCATGAAACAATATTTCTGAGAAATGCTTATGATAAAGAGAAAGATGGTAGATTATCGTTACAAGAATTCTAGATATGTGATTTTTAATTTGTTAATAATAAATAAATACTAATTATGAAAGATAGATTTTTATTATGATATAATAATATGAATAAGTTGTAAAGTGAATAGATATATCTGTTATTAATAAGTTTTGAATAATTAGTTTAAAATTAGTTATTTAATTTGTTGGTGTTATTTGGGATGGTTTGTGTTGATCAATTTAGAATAATTAAAATTTATCTGTTATAAAATGAATCAACTGAAAAAACATATCTCTGTTAAATGCATCAATTTTAACACTTAATCTACAAATACTCGTACTAGGAGTATGTCAAATTAAGTATCTAAGAATTCTACAGACCGTTCTAGATCTGTAAGTAAATTATGCCCAGCCATTAAGTAGAATAGTAATATAAATTAATAAGGTTGCCAGCTCCTACAAAAAATTCAGAATCAGTATCTATGTCAAATTCAAAACCAGTTTCTAAATTAGGAAAAGTGAAAATTGATCTTGGAAATAAAGGGACATCTAGAAGTTAATAATCAACATAAAAATCACGTTCAAACAGTTAAATAAGTAAAGAAGAGAGTTTTCCAAAGATGCTACCTGATTTTGGTAGAATGGAAACTGAATTATTGGATTGTTAAGATTTCATGCTATAATTACCTGAAATTCATTTTCCTACGACTGAAGATTTAATGAAAGAAAGAATAATATTAGCTAATAGAATAGCATATACAATTAAGACAAAGAAACGTATACCTCAAACAACACCAGATTTTTATAAGGTATCGCATCTCTAACCTTAGTAAGGTAGCTCTGTTATGTGATAGGCAAGGGAGCATTTGCAAAAGTATGTTTGGGAATCTAAATATTAACAGGAGCTAAAGTAGCCATGAAAATTATTGAAAAATCAACACTTAAAACTGAGAGTGCTAAAAAAAGATTATTGTTGGTAATTTCCAATATTCTATTTTAAGGAAATTACTTTAATGAAAATTCTTTCATAATATTAATAGTTTGCTTCTTTATTTGAAGTTTTTGAAACAAAAAAGTAGATTTATATCATAATGGAATATGTTGAAGGTGGAGATTTAATGAAATGGACAAAAGAAAAACCTATACCTGAAACTTAAGCAAAATCTGTATTCAGTAAATTAATATTGGCCTTATAAATACTTTAAAGTCATAATATTTTACATAGAGACATTAAATTAGACAATATACTACTTCAAGGAGATTCTATAAAGATTTGTGATTTTGGTGTTAGTAGATAAATTATTAAAGGATAAAAAATATTGGAATAATGTGGAACTCCAGCTTATTTAGCACCTGAAATAATATCTAGTAAAACTGGATATGAAGGATTTGCAAGTGATATTTGGAGTTCTGGAGTTCTATTATACATTTTATTAGTAGGAAAGGTACCATTCAAAGGAAACAATATGAATGAATTAAATCATAATATTCAAAATGGTTTACTCAATTTTATGGAAATGAAAAAATCAAATTTATCAAATGATGCTGTTGGTAATTTATAAGCAATATTTATATTAGATTTAATTAAAGCTATACTTAATATTAATCCTAAATTGAGAATAACACTTACAGAAATTCTTAATCATCCTTGGTTAAAAGAACTAAATTTAAAATAAAATAAAGTCTCAATGTCTAACTCTAATTTAGATTTAAGAGTCATTTCTCAAATTGAATAGTTTGGCTATTAAAGAGAGTTTATAATAAAAAGTTTATAGAAATAAACACTCTGTCATATTAATGCTATGTATTCTATTTTAACAAGAGTTTAAAAATGATTTAGATACTTTATATATATGTATATATATAAATTAGTGATAATAATTAATATCAAGCTGCTGGATGTAAATTAGCTAATTCACTTTTTAAACTTTATCTGACTCTTGAAATAAAATCTAAATATAAAATCTTAATAATAATACCTTCTTGAATTAATCCTTAATTAAAAACTTCCTGATTGATATCATTTAGTTGACTTTAAAATTTTTTCATTTCATCGCTAAATCTCTTCAATTCTCTAGAAAATTCTATATCTACTCTTCCCTCTTCCCCCTATAATTTTGATTTAATATTTAAATATTAGGATGTACTTTCTTATCCTTAATTTGTTACATTATCATAATTATTTTCTAGTTCTTTTGGTTGTTTTGCACTTAATACATAAACTCTGTCTTTGCTTGATATAACTACATCCATTGGTGGTTTAAGAAAAACATAAGGTTTATTATTATTTTTAACTTTCTCTCCTCTATATAATCCAATAGGAATCATATTTTGTTCTGTGAGTAAAATTTCAAAAAGTTCTCCAAAAGTTTTCTCTTAATATTTTGGAGGTATGTTAATTAGAAATAAATTACTTTACTATAATTTGCTTGCTTAATACAGTTTTTTATGCTATATAAAATCATGAAGATTCTTACTTTTTTATTAACGGAAGCACTTCCTAAAATCATTTAATCAAAAATACTAGTAATAAAAGGATTATAATAAGCTTAACATATAAGAGTATCAAGCATAGTAGATATATATATTTCTCCAGAAGCAAAAGGTTCACTTACAGACCAATCATATTTTTAAACATAATTATTTCTTGATATCTACAAAAAAGAAATTGTTGAAATTGAAGCCAATTCAGTTATTATGTTTATGTTTTAGTTTAATAATTTGACAGTTTTATAAATGAATATTGTATCTGCATCAACAATATTTGCTGTCCCTTCTTCTTAGTCAGCAGATTTTTATAAGATAACCAAAGCTGATGCTTTTTAAATACATACTTTTTTTAAATCTTCAGTATTAAGTGGAGATCCTTATTGGAAATAAACTTTTGGAAATTTATTAATTTATAATTAGATTTCTGTTGGTATCAAATCCTAATTCAATATTACTATTGGTTGTATATTTTTTAATGATCTAGCTCTCAAAGGCATCATAAGATACTTCATATCTGAAACCACTCCACATACAATGAAGTGATTTTCAAATTTTTCTTAATCTCCAACTTTTGGAAGACCTGTTGTGATAGTCTAAGGTTTGACTTAATAGTAAGCAGGATGTTTAGAAGAATCATCTTTGAGACCTTCACTTAAAATTTCTTTTAAATATTCTGCTTCTTATTAGAGTGCATTTTTATTATTTTATTATCTTTAAACATTAGGAAAACAATAATTTTTTTAAATGTATTCAGGAAATTTGGTTTATTAAACCTAATCTATATTAGGCATTTCACTTGCTATTACATATCCATAATGTAAATAATCTTCAAATAGATATTCGGATGGATTAACAAATACACTAGTTCCTGATTCCAATTCTACTTCAAGAGCAAATAAAATTATATTTAACTCTTTATATATTGCTTATGAAATCTATATAATCTAAATTTATAATTACTTAACTAAATGTTAAACCAACAAATGCTTCAGATTCTAATGGAACTCTATATATTTCATTTTACATTCCACATAAATAATCATCTATCCATTCTTCCTTATTTTTATCATACTTTGATATATCATAAGATGGTTTCGATGATTAAATTAAAAATGATATAAGAGTATTTATCCCTGGACATAAACATGTTTTTCCTAAAAGATAAAGTTTAAGTTCATCAACACAAATAACTTAATCTGTCTCATGACCACCAAGTGAATTAAAGTATAAATCTTTACTTGATGGTTATAAAACTTATAAACATACTCTTACTCCTCTTCTTGATTTCTATTTTTTTGCAAATTATTTAACAGCGAAAGCATGAATAATATTTCGATAATCATCTCTTTTTGGTGTTCTACTTGTTTTATTTGCTAAAACAATTACACAATTGCAGTCTTTTGAACTACATCTTTCTAGATCTTTATTTTATAAAGGATGTCCCTCTAAATAGATTACTCTAGATTATAAAGCTGGTTATTTTAATTAGAGAGTCATTTCTTCAGTTGGTGCAGAAGGTTAAAGAATAACTGTATTTATATCATTCATTCCATGATCACTATGATACAGCTCATTTAAAAAGGTTTTAAATCCTTCTACTTAAGAAGATCCTAACAAAAGAATATGTTCACATTCTTTTTTTGACATGTATTTATTTCTGGCATATTGACTTCTTAAACTATACACTCTTGTTAGCATTTCTACTTGAGTTGGTAAAACCAAAAACATTATTAATATTGCTACAATAATTGAAAACCTTCCATAAATAGTTGTAGGATAAACATCTCCAAATCCCACCGTTGAAATTGTTACAACCATAAAATAAATATATTCGACTATAGAGTAATCCTATTCAACTACATAAAGTATTGAAGAATTTATCATTATAATTGCCATGACAGTTACAATTGGTTTATATGCCAACCTAAATACTCTAGATTAAACAAATTAATTACCTTCCATTGAAAGTCTCTATAATACTTTATCTAGTTTGTAACATAATAAAAAACGCAGCACTCTCAACAAATATATATATTTTTATCCTGTTATTATATTCAATCTTGCTAACAATGAAGGAAATATTGAAACGTATTCAATTAATGAAGTTGTTTGGAAGGTAAAGAATAATTTATTTTCTGATAAGCAGAAGTTAATTGCAAAATCAAGAAGGAAATAAATATAACAGATCAATTCTGGAATCTAAAAAACTTATAATGTGATTCAAATTACTGTAATAAATGCTTATGCTTCTTTAACATCTTAAGTTTCCCCTTAATCCCAAAATGAACAATCAATTAGATGTAACACTGTTAACAAAAAACTTAAAAGAACATTTATTCCATCCAAATAATCACCAATTCCAGAAGTTGATAAATATTTTGCCATTCTTAATGTCAATGTTATTTTGCCTTCTTCATGTTTCTTTGTAGTTGCGTCATCTTCAGAATTAACTAATCTTATAAGTGCATACTAATCTTAATGACTGAAAATAGACTATTTGCCTTCATAGATCATAAATATTAAAATAATTCAGATTGGTATTCATTAAATTTAATTTAAATCCAAATGATCATTGAAGAGAATGAGTTTGATAAATAAATAGATGATCTTCTAAATAAGGAAAAGACAGCTCGTTTAGCTAATAATTTAGTTGAAACACTTAAAGTCACTAAACAAATTGCCAAATTGTGTTTTGATACAAAATAATACTCAAAATTTAATGAATTAATAGTATCACTTAGTAAAAAAAGAGGATAACCAAAAAAAGCATAAATTGAACTTGTTTAAATGGCAATGGTTGAATTGAAAACACTTTCAATAAATCAAAAATTAGAAATGATTGATGCCATAATGAAAGTATGTGAAAAGAAGATTTACTTAGAAGTTGAGTATGCTCGTTGTGTTTTAATGCTTACTCAATATAAAGAAGATGATAATCAAATTGCTGATGCTGCTAAAATATTATAAGAAGTCTAAGTTGAAACATATGGATCAATGGATAAAAGAGAAAAATTAGAATTCATTTTATATCAAATGAAAATCATGATCAAGAAATTAGATTATGTTAGATTGTTCATCATTTCAAAGAAAATTGAACCCAAAAATATAGAGGATTAAAATATTGCGGATCTCAAGATTATTTATTATTCATTCTTAGTTATTTACTATAGACATGAAAACAATTATTAAGAGACTGCTCATGCTTATTCTAAAATACTTTAATCATTGCATTAAAATAGATAATTAGAAGCTACAAAAGTTGATTTCAACTTTAAAATTGATTATAACACAATTCTTGAAAATTATGCCCTGTATACTATTTTAAGCTAATATTCTGATGAAAAGGTATCTATATAATAATCATATATAGTAAAAATAATTGTAGACAATTGCATCAACTTATAAATATGGACTTGAGGCTTTACCTAATCTATAACAATTGATTTAAGCCTTTTTAGGGACAGAATTAATAAGCACTGAACCATAAACTCATAATATTTAAGCGGCTGAGATTTTCGATGAGAATATAGAAAATAACCAACAAAGATATAAAGGTAAAAAGATAGCCAATATTTTTAGATTTTAGAAGATAATTGATTCATCATAATTTAAGAGTATTTTAGATTTATTATGATTCGATATATTTGAATAGAATTACAGAGTTGATTGGTATCAATACCTAAGAATTGGAAGAAGAAATTTGTATTATGATGGACTAGAAAGTATAATATTGTGATAAAATAAAAGTTGCTTAAATGTAAGATTGATAGAATAAAGGGAATCGTTGACTATTAGTTAAAGAAAAATGAAAATGATGTTTTATAAGAATGGGGTGATAATGTAAATAAAGTTTTAAATCTGATTGATTTAACAAGCAATTTGATAAAAAGGGAAGAGGAATTGTTTTTATGAGAAAAATCAATCAGTATATAAATTTGAATTGTATTATTAAAATAATTTAAAAACATGTATTCAGAAGATAGAGATGGTTCTTAATACTCTGGAAATAATGTAGATTACAATGAAGATGATTAAGGGGAAGGTTAAGATGCTGATATGGAAGAATAATAATATTATGATGACGAAGATTAAGATCTGTAACAGTAAGATGATTATTAAGATTATCAACCAGAAGAATAGTAAGATGATCAATAAAGTAATTAAATATAATAAGAAGGTTTTAAATATTAGCCATTAGATCAAAGAAAATGGTAATGGGCAGAACCATTAATTGAAGGAGTTCCACCTTGTGCTAGAGGAGGACATTCAGCTACATTGAGTGGAGCTTCTATTATCTTATTTGGAGGACATTACTATGCAAATAAAGATGAAGGATACAAATACTTAAATGATACATATTAAATGGACGTAAATGCAAATAGATGGTTTAAAGCAAAAGTTTAAGGTACTCCACCTGCTCCAAGATATGCTCATTCTGCAGTTTTAGCAGGATAAAGAATAATCATATTTGGAGGAAAAGGAGAAAAATGTGTATTTAGAGATTTACATGCACTTGATCCATTAACTTTAACTTGGTATCAGGGACCAGAAGGATCAGGTTCTCCTAGTGCTAGATTTGCCCATTCAGCTACATTAGTAATTTTTAATATAATTATAATAATAGTATGCATCAACTAAAATGATAATCTTTGGAGGTTGGAATGGAATTGATTATTTTAATGATTTATATGTTCTAGACCTAGAAGTAATGGCATGGTCTTAACCTGCTTGTACAGGTCCATCACCAACTCCTCGTCAAGGACATACAGCTATATAAGTTGGTGCAAATTTAATCATTTAAGGTGGATTTTATTATCAAGAAGATAAAAATCTAAAGAATCTTCATAAAACAGCTAATCCTAGACATGGATCTCATTTAAGAGGATGTTATTTAAACGATATTAGAATTCTTGATACAGAACATTTTGCATGGAGTAGACTTAGAGTAAGTGGTACACCACCTGCTCCTAGATATGGACATTCAGCAAATGTAAGTGGAGCAGATATTGTTGTTTTTGGAGGATGGTCATTAAATTCTGGAGCTAGAAGGTATTCTTATTAAATAGTTTTAGTGAAAATAATTTTGTCACTTCACCAGATATTGATTATTTAATTGTTTTGAATACTGAAAAAATGTGTTGGGAAAAAGCTAAATATGAAGGAAATGCTCCTAGAAATAGATATGGTCATACTGCTACTTCTATTGGTCCACATATTTTAATTTTTGGAGGATGGGAATATAATAGAGCTACAAATCAAGTTGTTGTTTTAAGAGATCTTAATGTTGGATAATAATAATAATAATAATAATAATAAGAAAAGAAAAAATGATATTAATTAATTAATCAATTTAATTATAATTTATTTCGATTCATTAATATAATATTTAATTTTTCAAGGCTTTAAAGCTTGAATTGCTTTGTTTAGGATTTCAGATTGTAATTTAGGAAACGCGGGATTAATTTTAAGAATCAATTTGCAAATGTTAATTGCATCAACAAAACGCTTGTGGGATATATTTAATTAATACCTTTGCTTTTAGATAATTGAATGCTAATCTGTAGCCCATGATAGGATTTCTTTGATTTGTTAATTTGAATGCTTTTTCATATGAATTAGAGGCATCTATATATGATTACTCTTTTTCCTTAATTAAACCCATTAATTCTTCAGCTTTGGCACAACATTTATTTTACTTTAAGCATTTTCTTAGAATTTCTTCAGCTTAATCGTATTTTTGAATAGATATAAATGCATCGGCATGTAATAACCATGCTCTTTCTAATTCATCTCTTTCCCAACCACTGTTATCAGCCTGTTTAGCCCATAACAACTTTAACATTGTTTTACCTTCTGTTTATTTTTTACTTAAGAATTTATTTATTGCTAAACTTAACATTGCTGGAGCCCATTCTCTATTACTTTTTAATAACTAACCTAAAATACTATTAGCCATTTCAATAGATTTTGGATTTCCTGACAATTAAAGCACATATGCTTACATTACCAAATATCTTGATAGACTTCCTCTATTTTAAAGTTCCTTAAGAAGTTAATCACATGCCTTTAGATTCTCAACAGCAACTGGTTTTGGTTATTCATCTGTTATTGAATAATAAAGATCTTAATCAGGATTCAAATATAAATCTATCATATAAGTTAAACTATCTTCAGCATATTATTAATGTTTCTTAGCATAATTAAATTATATTAATGCTTCTTTTGGTAAATTTTTATATTTATAATATAATCCTCTACAAAAACACAATCCTGGTTCATTTTAATTTAATGTAGCCTTAGCACAATTATCAATTATGGTTTAAATTTCATCCAATCTATTTTACTTTCTATACCAATCTATTACTTTAGATAAAGTTCCAAAAGAATTAGGTTTATCTTACAATGTTTAAACAAATTATTAAATTGATTTTTCACTATCATCTTACTATAAAACAAGTTCAGACAACATCATAGATGCATAATCATTTTTTGGGTTTAATTTTTATAGAATTTTTAATTTTTATTCGCATGATATCTTATCTCCATTTTAATAAAATGTTTCTGCTTATAATTAAATCAAACTTTCATTTGTAGGTATATATTTAATTCCATCATCAATACAATCTAAAGTTGCCTTATAATTTCTCTCATTACTAAAGAAGTATCTGGCCTACTCTAAAAATATTAAACCTAATTATTCTTTTTCTTTATTAACATTTGCAGCTTCTTATTTACTTTTTTCTATAACATCTTTTTATGTTTAAACTGCATATTCGAATGCTTTTCTTATTTTTTCAATCTACTTTTATGATTCAGCCATCAATTATTATTAAATCTTTTCTTTTTCTGCATTTTATGCTTAATTAAATGTTGCTTATTGTAATTTTGTGACCATTCTTGCAATTAAAAGAAAACCTTAAGCATTTGCTCTTAATGTTGTCAATGAAGGTGCAGCATAATCATCAGTCAAAAACTTTTCCCAAATCAATATCTATTCTGCTTTTTAAATATTATTCATTCTCAAATACAATCTACCCAAATCTACTAATAAATCCTATCTTCCTGGAGTTTTTAACAATGCTGCTTCATAATAATTAACTGCTTTCTAATAATCATATGTCATTGTAAGTGCATTTCCAATAATTCTAGTTATTTCTTCATCTTCTGGATCCAATTCAGCAGCTTTTTAATAACTTAAAACTGCTTCTTAAGGTTCATTTATTTTCATAAATGCTTCTCCAATTAATTTATAATTTTCTGCTGTTGGTTCTGCTTCTATGATCTCAGCATAACATTTTGTATAATTTCTGCGATCCTTCAAATATTTTAAATAAACATCTGCTAAAATTATTCTTGAATTAACAAAATTTGGTTATCCACTTTAAACTGCTTTTAGTATATTTATTGCCTTCTTTATATCTCCACTTTCAATTGCAATCTCACTATTAGCCATCATAATTGTACTTTCATGGGGACTGCCAGCATATTCCTAAATTGCTTTTTACATAATCTTTTTGGCTTCTGCTTCTTTTTTATTAACAGCTAAAACTTTAGCTAAAAGAACAAAAACTTGACATTTATCTTTTTCCGTAAATTGTACAATTTTGGATTTAGCTTTAATTTTATTTTTATATTTGCCTGCTACTAGTTCATATGCTGCTTCTAATGTAATTTAGGCATTCTTATAATCTTCTGTTCTATACTCGACCTCTCCTTTAACTAGCATGAATAAAGGGTTTTCTCTGATAGCAAAATTATTAGATATTGCTTAATTTAAAGAGTTTGATGCTAAATTAATTTATTTTGTTTTGATAGAAATTAAGGCATGTAAAATATAGGCGTCTTCATTTTTTGGATCTAATTCTAAAACTCTATTTATTGTTTTCAAAGCTTCTTGAGGATCCCCTAAAGCCATTTTACCAGTTGATAACAATAACTATACATTTGTTAATCCAGGAGCTTATTTAGCTATACTTTCTAATAATTTGGTTCCTTTTCCAATTCCTGATGTAGTTAATTCTTTGCCAGCCAACATTATATTGGTGGAAAGATTTCTTAGATACATTTAAGCAATAGTGAATGCAAAATCAGGATTAAATTTGATATAAAATTCATATCCAGGCAATAATTATTTACTCTAGGTTAAATGTAGTTTAAGTGTTTCTTCTATAAACTGTTAGGCAATAGGAGAATCAGTTCCTTCTGATTTCTTACTTTCTAATAAAGCTTATAAAAAAGCAATTTCTGTAGTTCTTCCTACAGAAACTTAAAATTCTTAAACAAACTCTAATTATTTTTCAGCATCATCAATAACTCCTTATAAAATTCTGCATTGAATCATCCCTGCTAATGATTCCATCCTTCCTTCATCTAAAGCAGCAGCTTCTTAAAAGTAACCATAAGCTTTTTCATATTCTTCTAACATTAAAGTTTCTTAAGCTAATTCTAAACATAAATCACCTAATAATGGAGCTAATTTTCGCATTTTCTGAATTTAAACTATAGTCAATTAAAGAATTGATTGATTTCTTCCAGAAACTCTAGATAATAATTAGCAACAATTTAAAAGTAATTAAACATTATCTTCTTCCTGTTTCTAAATAGCATTAAATAGTTCTTCAATTTTTTCAATTGATTCTCTGACATCACCCTTTCTAGCCAAATTATAAAATGCAATAGCTTTTAATCCAAAAATATTAGTTGGGTCATCATAAAGTATTTTATTAGCCAAATCCTAAAATTATTCCCAATCTTATATGAATATGCACAATCTCAGTTTCTCAACATCTGTAAATGGAAAATCTCTCCATACAATCATTAATTCATTTAAAGCATCTAAAGTTATTGGATATTTTTTATTTATTTCTGAAGCCTTTGCTAAACCTAACAAATATTCAATAGGTTTTTAGTTAAATTATCCTAATCATAATTTAAGATAATATACCACCAATACTTTAAAAGTAATCAAGGATTTCAGTTACACTAATTTATTCATCCTTCTATAATAATTTATACCATCCAAAAGTGATTTAACTTATAGGTTGTCCTTATGATAATAATTCTAAAACTTCCTTTGCCTTTCTACCTTCGTCTACGAATAAATAGAAATATATGGCACTCTAAAATGCTTTATCATTTGGAGTCTTTCGACCCTCACTTTACATTTATCTACAAGTTTCAATAATTTCCTAAAAAATTAAATTTTCTATTTTACTCTATCAACACCACGTTATTATTACGAATAGTATATAAGTGCTGCTGAAGTTGCAAATTAAAATTCTCTTTTATTTCTAATTAATGTCAACTCATTTATTGCTTCATTTAAACTTCCACTTTTGAAATAGCAAAATGCTCTCCAAAATTGAAAGAATGGATCTTGATTTCTTTGATAAAACTATTTATATTCAACTAATTCTACCTTATGACATAACACTTATGTTGTTTTCCACAGACCTTCTCTTAGCAAATAAAAAACTTGAGATTATTGAATAAGTAAATCACTACTCATTTATATAAAAAGAAAATAATATAAAATTATAGCAGTTATTATCAAAGTAATTTAACTAATTATCCTTACTTCCATATCCCTTTAGTTATTTATTAGTTACAACTATTATAAAATTCTCCTTATCCATCTTAAACACCTTTTTTCCATTAACCTACATATTTTTTTCCATCTGAATAACAAAATATTCCAAATCCATGTTTTTGATCATTCCAATATTTACCTTTATAAAAACGTCCATCAGGCCAATTTAATAATCCTTTTCCATTCATTTTACCATTCATCCATTCTCCTTAATAGATTCTTCCATCTAACCATCTCTAAATATATTTTATAATATTATATACATATGTTCCTATTCCATTAAAATTATCTAATTCAAATTCACCTTCATAAATTTCTCCTTCAATAAATGTTAATTTGCCTTATCCATGTTTTAATCCATCTTAAAAATTACCCACATAAACAGAACCATTAACATACCATTCTATTCCTTATCCATTTGGTAGATCTCTTTTCCAATACCCTTTATATTTAAATATTTATATTACCTTCATATTTACATCCATTATTATAATTGTATATACCTTAACCATGCATTCTATTTTATTACCATTATCCACGATAATAAGCTCCATTTTTACTTCTAAATTCACCTTTACCATGAAAATAACCTTTTAAAAATTCACCTTAATAAAATGATGAATCACAAAAAGTGTATTTACCTTTTCCATCTGGTAATTAATTTAACCATTCTCCATTGTATTTATTTCCACCCACTAATTTTATTGTATCTAATTTCAGTCTTCTGTTTTTTTATTATAATTTTATTTTATCATTTGTCTCTAATATTTCAAGAGTCAATACACACCTAAGCTTGAATGAATTTATCTTATCATTTTAATTTTTGAGAGATCCCTCACTTTTATCAAAAAATTAAACGCTTAATTTTTATGGAATTTTGACATAACAACCTAAATCTTCAATGTCCTATGAATCAGATTCTTTTGGTTACAATTTGAAACTTTATTAGTGACTAATTTTAGATATAACAGATTAATTTTTATTATTTTTTATCTTTGAATCAGCATTCTATTCAACAAATGAATTAATTTTTTGAGAATATGAGCGTGTATGAAATTCCATTTAGAAATCTTCAGTTGAATTATATAAATTCTGATTATTTGTCTTTTTTTCTGCTAATTTTAAACTAATAATTAACTATTTTCATTTACTTATATTTTTGTCTTTTTATATAAGATCGATACGCAGATTATATTTTAATTGCCATCTAATGATTTTATGGTAATTAATTTATTGTTATATTCTAATTTCTTACAGATTTTAAGGGTTCTTGTTTCTATATGCATTAATTACATGATCCCATATAAATAATAATTTTATTAAAACTAATTTTTTATATCTTCCAAAAATACTCTTGTATTATTGAATTTTAACCGAATATTATGGGTCAATTCTATGAATTTGGATTTTGATATTAAGAATAATTTTTCAAAAATACCATAATTTATGAAAAAATGAATATACTCTATTAAATAGAATTAAACAATAATTTATATAAATTTAAATGATGATATAATAGCCAAATATGATGTTCTGTATTACAGAATTAATGATCTGTTGAGGAGGTATTCTGAGTGAATAATATTATTTTTGCTTCTATCTTTATTTATTATTAATATAATTATGGATCCAAGAAAGAAAGTGAAAATGTAATAGAACGAAGATGAAGATGAAATAGAAATGGATGATTATCAAGAAGATATGTAATTTAGAGAATAAAATAATGAATTATTTGATGAAAGACAATTAAGGGAAATGATATGTCAATTGGAAAATAATTACAAATTAAATTCTGATTTGAGAATGAGATATCCAAATTAACCTGATAAATTTATAGATTCTGAAGTGGATTTAGATGAAGATCTTAGAAAACTTTTAATATTACCTGCATATCCTAAATTATATCCAATCTTTTATAATAGTAATGCTCTTCAAATAGTGATTCAGTTGTTATAACATAATAATTAATCTATTTCAAATGATGTAATTCAATTTTTGAAGGAATTAGTCTCTCCTGATGGAGATGTAGAACCTAAAATAATTATTGAATTATATAATTGTCTAATCAAAAACTATTTTATTGAATCCTTGGGAGAATTAATACTAAAGAATGATGAAAAAACTTAAGAAGAAGTAAATTTACTGCATGATTGTTTTGAAGTAATTGAAAATATGGTTGACATCAAGTCATCAATAAGTAAAGAAATTGGTTTTAGATCTAAAATCATATAATATTTGGTTAAAAGAGTTGAAGATAATAGTCAAACTCTAGATGATAATAGATTATATGCTTCTGAATTGTTAGTTATACTAACTTAGTAAACCAAAGAGAATTTAGAAATTATTGGTAGAAGTGGAGGTATTGAAAGTTTATTGATGGTGTTGAATTAATATAAAAAGAAAGATCCTGAAACTGCAGAGGAGAAAGAAATATTAAATAATGTTTATGATTTGCTTACATTACTTTTAATCCATGAAGAAAATTAAGATTATTTTCAAACTTATGAAGGTTTATAATTAATGATCAAAATCATTTAAGGAAAGACTTCTTCATCCATAAGAGCATATAGTTTAATTTTATTGACGATTAATAATCATAAAGAAAATTGTTAAAAATTAATTTAAATTGGGGGATTATCAATTATATTTCCTATTTTGGAAAGGAAAGGATTAAAACATAAAGATTAAAATAAACAATTTGAAATTGATGAAACTAGTGTTTAAATCATTAAATAATTGCTTAGAAGGAATAATGATCCAACTTTTAAATAAAGAGTAATTGATAAATGTGTTGAAAAATTGGAGAGTCTTAAAAAACTCAGAAATGAGTATGTTGATATAATTCCTTTAATAGACCCTGAGGAATATGATGCTCTTGACGAAAAACAATTACAAAAAATATATTTTGATTTATTGGGAAAAGGATTAATTGTAATAGAATCAATTGATATAATCTTATTAGAATTGATTAATGAAGGTATAGAAGTGAATATCGATTCATAAGAGATTGTAAGTTCTGTTAAGTAAATGCTCAAATATACTGGAGAAAAAGAAGATATAGATTATTATGACCCTCTTCTTTAGAAATTTGAAGTAAATCTATAATGATTAATTAATAAATCGTATTTTAATAATAAATATATTAAAATCATGTAACAGGAAAGCATATATAACTTGATTCCTAAAGAATATGTACCTCCTCCAAAAGAACCGATGTATAGATCGGCATATCCAAGTGGATTGACACCAACTGGCAGCACATTCAATAATCATACTACTAGTCGACCAAAAGTAGTTGTATTATTTAATTCAGGTTAACAATATCAACGGAGATTTTGATTTAGCCAGAGGTCCACATACTCATAAGGGATAATCGAATTCTCTAGGAAGACCTAAGGGTAATTTGAATTTGAATATTTATAGGATCATACAAACCAGATTCTACTATGTTCAGATTGAAAAATACTGGAACTATGGGATCAAATTAATTGCCTGAAGGTAATTATAAATAATAATGGATTAGTTTAATAATATAAGTATCCTCCTTCAGTCAGACCTCCTGTACCTAAAAAAGATGAAAAGCCAATTCATGGACTTAAATCTAATAAAAATTACATAGTGACAAATGCAGTTGAAAATATTCTGAGTGCTCCAAAATAAATCGTAGATGAAAAACCATGGACTGAAAAAAAAGATTACGGTAAGGTACCTGACTATCTTACAAAAATTTAATAAAGCATTTCAAGTGAATATGAAATTATTAGAAATATGCATATAAGTGAAGCTGAAGAAATGGACAAATAAAAATATTTAATGACTTAAGAAGAAGTTGTTTAATTAAAATAAGGATTAAAAAAGAAATGGGAATCTGTTAATAAAGAATATTAATCAATTACACATATAAGAATGATTGACACTGTTGGATTAAAGAGAAAGTAATTATAAAATCTAATTCTTATAGGAAAGAACAATGTGAGAAAGAATTAGCTTAATTGGAGAAAGATATTGAAAAATTAAATAAAAATTATGTCTTTGTAGACACATAAAAATGATGATCATTCCAAAATATATATATATATAAATACATATTTAACTTTGCCGCTTTTATTAATTTATAAATATGGGAATTCATCAACTTATGTAATTTTTAAAGGAAAAAGCACCTAATTGTTTTAGGACATTAATGCTAGATTATTTTGCAGGAAGGTAATAGTTAATTTAACAAATAGAACTATCGGTTGTGATGCTTCTATGGCTATGTATTAATTTTTAATTTAAACACAATCTGCAGGATAGACATAAATTATTGAATTAACAGATAAAGATGGTAATAGAACTGGACATCTAGTTGGGTTATTTAATAGAACATTGCAATTTCTTGAGAATGGAATAAAACCTGTTTGGGTATTTGATGGAAAACCTCCTTAATTAAAAAGTGGTGAGTTAGCAAGAAGAAAGAAATTAAAAGAGGAGGCTTAAGTTAAAACAGAAATAGCTTTAGAATAAGGTGATATGTAATAGGCCTTACTTCAACATTAAAGAACAACTACAATATCAAGTATAATGAAAGAAGATGCTATAAAAATGCTTAAATTAATGGGATGTCCTGTTATTATAGCACCATGTGAAGCAGAAGCTTAATGTGCTGAATTATGCAGAGCAGGTAAAATTTATGCTACAGCAACAGAAGATATGGATGCTTTAACTTTTAGAACTCCAGTTTTATTAAGAGGGTTCAATACTAAAAAAGAACCTATTTATGAAATTATATATGATGATATGATTAAAGAATTAGACTTAACTTATGAATAATTTGTAGATCTATGCATTCTAGTAAAAATTTATTTTTATTATTTCTTAGTGTGGTTGTGATTACACTGAAAAAATAGAAGGTATTGGACCTGGAACTGCATATAAACTTATTAAAGAATTTAAGAATATTGAAGGGATTTTAGGACATGTGGAAAAAGTCAATGAGGAAAGATTAAAAAATAAATAAAATCCTAAATATACAGTTCCAACTAAATTTTTGTATTAAGACAGTCGAGAATTGTTTATTACTCCATTAGTTTCTAAAGGAGATGAAATTTAAGTAATATTATCATTAATTATTTTTTTAAGTTAACATGGAATAAACCTGATGTAGAAAATTTGAAAAAATTCCTTGTTGAAGAAAAAGGATTTGCAGAATCTAGAATTGACAATGGACTTAAAAGAATTTCTAAAAAAGATCATACAGGTTTTTAAAGTAGATTAGAGAATTTCTTTGGTAAAACTACAAAAATTATTCATCCAAATAATAGTAAAGCTAAAGCCAAATCTAATAAAAAGAATGAATAAACTTCAAAATCTGGAGGAAAAAAAAAAATTTGATATATTTTAATATCTATTATATAAACTAAAAAGTATTTAATTCTTAGTAAATGAAATTAATTTAAATAAAATTTATATTATTTCACATACAAATATGCATAATATTTATATTTTAATAAAAAAACATTTCAATAATAATCGAAGAGTACATCTTTTCCAATTTAGGTCAATTGAATCTCAAATATAAAGTCATACATCAAAATAATTTTTATTAACTTTAAATTTAATCATTAAAATGATTGAAGTTAAATAGCAAATACAAAAGACTGTTTATAAATATTCATACTTTCTAAATGATATATTAGGGGAAGGCTACTCTTCTAAAGTATACAAAGGAATACATAATGAAACAAAATAGCCTGTAGCTATAAAAGTTATAAACTTTTAAACTTTAGTTACTCCAATTTCGTAAAGTTTGCTAAAAAATGAGATTAACATAATCAAACAATTAAATCACGAGAATCTAATGAAAGTATACGAGGTTTTCCAAACTAGAAATAATACCTATATAATATGTGAATTATGTAGTGATGGTGATCTAGCAGATATCTTAAGAACAACTAACTTATCAATAAAAGAAATAATCGACATATTTACTTAAATATCAAAAGGAATAAAGGCCCTACATGATTAAAGTAATCTTATTCTTATTAAATTTAGAGATAATTCATAGAGATATAAAGCCTGCTAATATCCTTAGATTGGATGGAATATATAAATTATCAGATTTTGGATTTGCTATAGTACAAAATGATTTTGAGAGTATTATAAAAAAGTTTCATGTCGGAACTCCTGTATATATGGCACCAGAAACTGTTCAGTTAAATCAATATTCTGAAAAATCTGATATATGGTCCTTAGGAGTTGTTCTTTATCTTATGTTATTTAAGGAATTACCTTATAATCAAAGAAAAGATGAAGACATTAAAATTAAATAGCAAGAAGTGTATACAAAAATAAAAAATGAAAAAAACTTGCCTAATTAAATATAGTTTATTTTAATGGGGATGCTTGAAATAGATCCTCTAAAGAGAATTACAATAGATTCTATATTATTGCAATTATAAAATCAAAAGAAATTAAAATGTAATTCACATCAAAATATTTCCTGTAAAATTTTAAGAAGATCAAGTGCTCATTCTCAGTCAAAATATGGCAACTAAAATAATTTTACTAAACCCTTGAAAACATTGCCAGATGAAGTATAAGAGATTGATGAATAGATAGAACCTTATTCTTGTAGAATAAATCATACTTAACGTAATAATGAATTACTTGATTAAGAAATTAAAGAATTATATATAGATTATTGTTCTTAAAAAAAAAAGAGAGATAAAATTAATGAAAATGGCAACTCTTCTAAAAGAAAAGTTTAAATATAAATACCAATCGTTTAATCTAATTATAAATAAAAATTAGAAAAAATATAATAGCTCTTAGAGAATAATGATTCGTAATAAAATACAAATTCTAATAGTACAAATGAAACTATAAAAAACTCTTAGTTATCGAACTGTTAATTATAACTTTAATGTACGCCTATTAATCCTTCATTTTCAAAGAATGAAAATTCAATAAATAATGTTCCAAGTAATAAACTTTAATAAAAATTTCACTAATCATCAGATCAAAATTTAATTGCATCTCCAAAAAAACAACTCAAGAATGTTTCCTCATATTCAAATTTATTAGATTAAAATGTTAGACCTTTAAACAGAAACAAAAATTTATCAGTATAAAAAATAAGAACAGCAGCTTCAGTGAGTAAGATTCCAGGTTCAGATTAGCATATTAATAATAATAAAGAACAACAATTATTTAATTAAATTAATGACTCTTTATCTGTTACAATATAACCTACCTACAAGTTTTTGGTGTTTTTAAATTAAGCTCTAAAAAACTTTGATTAGATTAATACTGAAGAAAAATAAAAATGTTATTTTTTACTTAGAAAATTATTGGCTTTAAAGGCAAATGCTATTAAAAGGTTTTGTCCTCTCATAATTTAAGAAACCTTATCTCAATGGATTGAATGCTTTTAATAATATTATTTAAAGGTGGTCCCTTTATTTTATACAAATTAAGATAGAAAATTTAATTAATACTTTAATAATGATTTAGAATAATTTACAAAGGGGTTTTCGAAATTATTATATTAAAATCTAATAAATGTGAATTAATAATTGAATTCAAAAGATCTCTAAGTAATCCAAGAAGTAATAAATGATAATCTTAAATAATTTAATGATCCTATCTTATTTGCAAGAAGATGGGAAAATGGCCAATTATGAAAGTTTTTATGTTTTCTGTATGAATAATTTTAAACTCATTCTTTATTAATAAATTAGCTTAAATTCTGTGGAATGACTTATTCTTGATAAATAAATTAGTCTAAGTTGTATTGAGCTTAAATTTATATTGAATGAATTTTGTTTAATAAATAAATAAATTAGCTTAAATTATATTGAATGACTGACAACCAATTTGATAATTAGAATGAATTCGATGAAATGGCAAACTTTAATTTTGTGATTCGTAACAACAATCATTAATATAAGATATCCATCTAAAAAAGAGAAGTGCTAGAAAAACATAAACAATAATTGTTGGTATTCCAGAGGAATTCGATTTAAATAAAATTATTAGATTTTGGAAAAAGGTATTATTTTACTCTTATGCTTTATAGCAATTCAATTGTACAGGTGGTATAATATCAAAGGATGAAGATTATGGAGATTGCGTAACAATTAGATTGACAGGAGATAATAGATAATAAATTGCCAAATTTTTAGTGGAAGAAGGAATAGCATTATAAGATAACATAAAAGTTCATGGTATTTGATATATCAAATAATATTTTATATCTAATAAATTTATTTTTCCTAATCCATTACTCATAAAAGAATGATTTTTAAATTAGTAATAGTGAATTATTATATATCCTTAGCATATAAGTTAATAATAATAAAGATGGGTACAGAAAGATTATCTCTTAGGAATTTCAAAAAAATTCTAATTTGATATATTTATTAAAATTCTTTAACAAAAAGAAATTATACATATTTAGAAATGAATAAGTATATTTTAATTATTTTTGACAATATTACATTCAATAGAAGATAATAAAGAATAATCATTATCTTATTTGTCAAGAAAAAATTGTTAAAAAAAAAATAACAAATTATTTTTTTGATTTATTATTTATATCAGAATGAATTTATACAATGTAGACGATGAAAGATTAAGAAATCTTAATATTGATTCTCATGTAATTGTGAACATTGAATATTTCTGGACTGATGAGAGAGTGAAAAAACTTTGTGAAGCAATTTCGAATTAAGAAGATATATAAATTAATTTAGATCTATTTTAGTAAAACAATAAATAATCTCAAGACCAAGATCCTGTACTTAAATTACTGATTAATGTTTTTATTATTTCGGCAATTTAATGCCCACAAATTTATTGGAACTTTCTTTAAGTAATTGGGGAAATCAAAATTATAATATCTCTGATATAGCCTTTATTCATTTAGGAAAGGCTTTTAAAAGTTTAAAGATTTTGAGGTTGAATCTACAATAATGGGGTCATAAAGGATGCAAAATATCAAATATTGGGGTAGTTTAATTATTTAAAAGTCTGCCAATATAAATTCAGGAATTGGAGCTTAATCTTAATAAGTATGATTGACAAGATTTCAAGATTAGGATATAGAAATCTTAACATTACTGGACCCTCATTTGTAGCTATGGGAGATTTTATTGAAAAGCTAGAGAATTTAAGAAATTTAACATTAAATTTAGCAGAGTATTTTTCATTTACAATTATAATATTAGTTGGGGAAATGATTATAATAAATCTCTAGAATTATTTTCTAATGAAGATCTTCAATACTTAATCGAAAAGATTTTTACTTTAGATCTTGAAAAATTGCATCTGGATTTAACAGGTTTGGGAATGAATGGAAGCAAAATTACTGAAGAAAGTGCATTTTATCTCTTACAAAATTTATAATTAGCAAATATTTATGATTTAAATATTTTATTATAAGGATGGATATGTAATGTTGAAGTGAAGAATTAGATTCTGAATATGACAAAGGAAAAATAATAATTAAAAAAATAAATCTACTAATTTCTAGCTATTAATTCTTTGGAAGTTTCAACTTAAGATAGAATGCTTGATGAGATATTAGCAAAGTTATGAATTGAATGTTCATAATATAAACCTAAATAAAAGTTTCTTTCTTTTTATAAATATTCAACTAATAATTATTAAGATCTATAAATAAAAAATATTTAATAACTAATTATCAGTCTTATTGCATCAATAAATAATTATTATTGTATTATTTCGTATATTAAAATTAATTAAAAATCGTCATTAATTAATTTAATATTCACTATGAAAGAAGATAGAATACAAAAAGCACATGATGGGAGGTCTGGAAATTTTAATCTTATTATTTATATATTGAAGTTATTTTGTAAGATAATATACAATTTAACATGGAAAAGTATTTCATTTACTCTAAAATTTGTATTTTTTTCTGGAAATTTAAATCTATTTATGAAGTTTTTGTTGTGGATTGGTGAGATTATACTAAATTTATAGCCCAAAGCAATTAAATCTATAATAAAAATACTTTTATAAATAATTTAAAAATACATATTGAAAAAAAATCATAAAAAATATTAAGTTTAAAGTTAAGAGTAAGCATCAAATATAACTTATTGCTTAGAAGAAAAAAAGGAAGAATAAAAAGAATAAGATGACAGAAATCAAATTAATGATAATTTAAGATTCCAAATTGAAGAAAATAATTTTAATCAAACTTAAAATTACACTTATTCTAATAGAAATTCAAATTAAAATCAATAATAAATTTAATAATAATTATAAGACTCTCATTAAAAATATGTATAAAATTAAGAAGAATTAGATAAAAATAACTGTTAAGAATAAGAAATATTTTAAGGTTAAGAATAATAAGAAGTTTCAGGGACCCGATAAGATGATGAAAAGAAAAATAAACCAAATCAAAATCTAGAAGAGGAACAATAGTAATAATAAGAATAATAAAAAGCTTTTTAAACACAAAAATCAGAAATAAATAATTAAAATTAAAATTAAGAACTATAATAAGAAAATTAGGAAATTAATTATTAGGATTAATTTACAGAAAATAACCAATAATAATAATCAGAAGTACCTATAGAATAATAATAATAAGAAATTGAAAATATAAATAATCAAGTTTAATAATAAAATTCTTAAGAAAATGAAGAAATAATAGAAATGTATTAATAATAACCTGAAATTGAGAACTATTATAAATATTTGACAAATGATATAGAATAATTACTTAATTAAATTGCTTAAAAATCTTATCAAGGAAGATATTTGGAACAAAATTACAAATATTTTGTTGGTGAAAAAGAGAATATTAACGATACAATTAAGCATTATTTTGGAAGACGTAGAGCATAATTTTCAAAATAGATTACCAGTTTTAAGTAAGAAATTATTGGACATTATAAAATTCGAGGAGATGGAAATTGTTTTTACACATCTTTTATTTTTTAATTTTTATCATTATTGATATAAAATGAAAAAAGAAGAAATTAGTTTTTAAAAGATTTAGAAAATATTAAAGCAAGCATCCATTACTAAAATATTAAAATAGATTAAAATGAGGAAATAGTTTAGGAATTTGTCTATCAATTTTAGTAGATTAAAACAAAGTAAGAATTATTAGTGAAATTGAGAGATCCTGATTATTTATTTTATTAAATCACAGTAATTGTTTTTAGGAGTTACTTTTCTTATATTTATTAGAAGGATTAATTATTTGAATAATTTAATGATTAAAATATTTTAGAAAGTCTTATAACTTGGGAAGAAGAGTGTAACAGCAATGAAATTTTGATAAAAGTAATATCCTAAAATTTAAATTTGTAATAATAATTTGAAAATTATTTTTAGAATTTTAGTATTGTATTTTATAGATATGAAGAATAATAATTATGAGAGAAAAGAATATGTGCCTGAAAATACAAACGAAGAAACAGAAAAAATATATTTTTTATTATCTCCAGGACATTATTAAATAGCAATACCTAAATGATTTAAGTTCATTATTATTAAGCATATAATTTATCAATTTCATCCCATTTTTCTTTAAGATCACGTTAAACCTTAATTCTTTTATAATAAATTTCGCAATCACGATTGCTGCACAAAATATCTCCTAATAAAGATCCTTAACAACTTTAACAGGTTGTCCAATATTTGTGATAATTAATTTAAAGTTCTTAAAGTTTCTAAAAATAAGATTTAAATTTACAATTGATGATTTGGTTAAAATATCAAGAGTTTTATCTTTGCAAAAACTGCATAAAGCTTGATTTTCATCAATGACTTTTTTACAATTAAGACAAGCAGTACGTTTTTAAACAAATTTACCTAAAGCAGAATTGATATTAACTTTTGGAATATATCTTGACATGGTATGATCTCCAACAAAAATACTTTCTGGATTAGGAATGACAAATTCAAATAATCTCATGATAGGTTTTTTTATTTGATTGTTGACATAATAATCAAAATCAATAGGGAAATCTTTTTCTAATACTTCAACAGGATCTTCTGCATTTTCATAAGTTTTAGATCCTTTAGCACCTTATATAATAATGTATGCAATTCTATCACCAGCAGATGGAGCATTAGCAGCATCTCTATTTTACATTTTTTCAGCAACAACAACATGTGCTTATTTTTATTTATAATTTTTAGTTAATTTATTTCCATCATCTTCATTTTAATTTTTTTTTTTATCTTTTTCTTTATCTTTATCTTTATCATCTTTTTTACTATTTAATGATTTAGTAATAACTAATTCAGATATATCAACTTTATTAAGATATAAATTTCTGATTTATTCTTTTGTATATTAAACAGCTGATTTTTCATCTTATTTAATAAGAAGAAAGTTTAAAATTTCAGTAACCATTTTTCTAATAAGAAAACAATTATCTCTTCTAACACTTTCTATACCTTTAGTATCAATTTTATCAGGTTTATCAGGTTTGGTCCATAATTATCCAGCATATCTTTTTCTATTCATTAATAGATAAGGAAAATAGACTTTTTCAAATTCTAATTTAATTGGTTAAATAAATTATTGAGAAACAAAAGATGCTGCTTCTCTTCCTAATTACATTGTTTCTTCTACTGAATATTCACCAAATTTAACCATAACAGAATCAGTATCTCCATAAATTACTTCAGCATCGTATTTAGCTCCATTATCTTTACTATAACGTTTAAGTACAGCATCTCTAGTAGCTTAAATCATTTATCTACCAAAACTAGTAATAGAAGCTGATATTTCTAAACAAGGTAATTAACCAACTTATGCTCCTGTAAATCCATATACTGAATTAGCAGATATTTTTAATGCTAATTATCTTCCATCTAATACTGCTTTTTTAAAAGGATCAGTTTCTTAAGCTAATTAATTTTTAGCTTTCTTTCTTGCATTAATTAAATCTTCCAATATTAATGGTAACATTCCTTTCCTAACTGTTGGTTTTACAAATATAGCATTTGTTTCTGGAGATATTGTAACTTATTCATCTTCCAAACCTAATTTTATAGGAGATGTATTTAATAGTGTACTGTAACACATATTATGAGCCATCATAATACTTGGATATAAAGAAGCAAAATCAAGTGTTGCTATTGGAACTTTATAAAAATTTTTAACTGGATCTAATACATATGCACCTTAATATTCTTAATCTGTCTATTTAAAATTTTCAGTTGGAATAATAAAATCATAATGTTTTGCTTTTCTTAATAACTATGATGCTACTTTTATTTATTAACCTCTCATAAACAAATAATTAACTGGTACTCCTGTTACTCTTGCCATTTCTGCATAATTATATAAACAACATAATTTATCCATTAATAAAATTGGTAATTCAGCATCTTTTAAACAATATACTGCTATTCTCTTTCTTGTTTCTGGATTTTCTAATATTTTTAATTATAAATATATTACTATTTTATAAAGTATAAATAATTGAATAATGTACATCTTCTTTTTATTATTTTAAAAATTAAAAACTAACATTATTTAGTGAAAAAGAGGAAAGTTTATGTTCCTTCATCATATGAATCATCATATCTAATTAGATTCTTCCTTCAATATTAATATCTTTAGTTTCTCTCATTCCCATAGCTTTACTTAAAAATTTACCATTCTTTATAATTGATTGAGCAGTTGGAATTCTTCCAAATTTTCCATAATTTTTCATTTTTAAACTTTATGCTCTATTCAATATATAAGGAATATCAAAATTTTAAATATTATATCCAATTATAATATCTGGATCTAATCCTTAAAAGAATACTTAAAATTCATTAAGTAATTCTTCTTCTTTTAAATAAGATTTAACCCAAGCCCCTGGGATTTTCTCACAATCTCCTAATGTAAAAACAACTCTAACTAATTCTTCACTTCTATTATGCACCTTAACTATACAGGCTATTTAAATAATAGGATCATGTTCCTCATTTGGAAATCCTTTCTCAGCAGAACATTCTATATCAAATGATAATATTCTTAAAGGTGCTAATTCTGATCTTTCATCTAATGGAATTGCTTTTACATACTAACAATCTACTTCGACTTCTATTTAACAAGATGATATTTTATCTTAATTCTCTCTTATCTTATAATCTTTCAATTCTATCCAACCCATTCCTACTATATCATATTCTATCATAAATCTTAATGCATAAGGTATATTTGATTCAAATGTTAGTTGAGGAATTTCCATATCACAAACAATTCGATTATCAAATTTTAAAAAGTTTCTTATTTGAGCAACATATACTGGTTATACTACATATATTTTTAAATAATTTTATTTTTTATTCCCTCCTTTATAATATCTTATTGATTCTTTTTAACAAACTTCTATTTTTACGATTGGTTCTTTCCCATTAAAATTTTTCTGCTTTGCTAATAAAATATTAAATTCTTTTTAAAATTATAAAATATGTTATGGTTCTAAATTTAATTCATTAGGTGATTGCAAATAGAAAAATGACAAAAAATTATAGACATGACATAGAATTGAATTTCCTTCTCCTGTGACTCCAAACATTCTTACTATACTTTATCCTCCTTAAGTATAATAATCACATTCTAATTGCATAAATTAAAGAGGTTTTGATGCATTGATTTTAGTTGGAGGTCTAGAAAACAACTACCAGCCACTTTCCTTAAATCTTGCTTCCATTCTTTATTACTCCTCATATATTCTCTATATATTTTATTGATCAAGATTTGCCCCTATATCCTCTTCTTACTCAGCCATTTTGAACTGATAAAAAAGCGCGGATTTAAAAAATATATAATGAAAAAAATCCCGCAAAAATATTTCACAAAATTTCGTTAATATAATCTCATAATTCTCTTCCTTTTATATTTTAATGATTATTTAAGTAAAATTAATCATAATTATGTCATATAAATCTTAGATTATACTTTCAAAGTTTTAATTTGATCTATGTATCTACAATATTTTATATTATAAATTCAGTCACTTAAATGGCTATAAAAATTAAAAGACTATGGCTTGATATTAGATATACAATCTTATTTTATATTCATTCAATAAATTTTACATTATTTTTGCAAGTATAATATCAATGAGCATAATGTAAAAATAAAAATATTTATATTTAAAAACTTATAATCTATATCAATTTTATTTTATTCAATCTTTTCAAAATAATCTTTTGCTGATAAGTTTAATTCTCTATCTACTTTTCCTATTCAATTTCTTAATTTTCCTATTATATAGATCCAATTTATTCTAGAATTTAGGGAATATTTTTCAAACTTTCTTCATTCTTATCTTGTATCCATTAATAAGATTTATTTGTTCTCTATCTATTTCTTTAATCTATTTTAAATCACTTACTATTTGATTTTGATTACATTTCTATTCTCATTATTTTCAATTTAAATCTCATTCATATATTAATCTTCATTCAATTTTATATCTTTATTAACTTCTTATTTATAACTTTATTTTTTCTTTTCAATTTCTATAGTTAATAATCTAAATAATTATTTACAACCTAATAACCATATTCAATATTTTTGCCTTAGTTGGGCCCATTTACAAAAATATCAATGTTTATAAAAAAAAATCGAATTCTTCATCTTTTTCTCCCACAATATTTATACAATAAAAATTGATTTTACTTTATTCAAGCAAAAATTGCCAAAATTTATTAAAAAGTAAAAATTATTTGGTATTTTCTCCAAAAATGTCTTTTTTTTTGATTTCTGGAGGGTCTTTCCGTGATGCAACATTCATCATAATATTCTATACTTAAAAATGTAAAAATTCTTATATTATTGAAAAATTTATTGACATTGCTTAATATATTATGATCCAATTAAATTATAAAAATTCTATAAGATTGCATCATCAAGGAGCATTATATTATCAATTATTAATTTCTTTTAACAGCAATAACATTAAAGAAAATCATCAAAACATAGATAACCAATTTATGCCATTTGAAAAGGTTTGAGTTTGAATCTTTATAAGGCCAATCAAGAAAGTTGTAAGTTTAGAGTCTTTCAGAATATTTATCAAAATATTATTTAAACATGTATTATAAAAATAAATACATAAGTTAAAGGTAAATAGGAAATAAAATGTTTTTAAGAATTTATTAGGATTTTGATAATTTTATAGATATATAAAAATTGGAAGTATAATATAATTATATATAAAATGAAGGTGATGAGTGAAAATTAAAAATGTCTTAAATAAAATAGAATTAAAATTTAAGTATTATGTCAAATTATTTAAGAGCATGTATAGCAAAGATAGATTGTATAAGTTGTTTGGTAGGTAAATGAAATGAATAATGTAATGAATTTAATTAATATTAATATATAAAAATAATGGAAGTCAAATATCGCCCACCACTTAATGATGTGTAAAATAAATATTGTAAGATGTTAGTAATGAATGCAATTGGTTAGAAAAAAACTTTGTTTCATGTTTAAAAGAGAAGAGTGTGAAAGATGACCTTCCAAAAAGAGTTTGCAAAGTTGAGAATGTAATAATAAATGATAATAAAAAAAGATTCTTTGGTTCTTTTTAGAATGTCCTGAAAGATCTGGACCTTATGAGGATGCAGATTAATTAAGAAAAATTTATATAAAGTAAAAACTAACAGATTTGAATCCAACAATACCAGAGCCAAGAAAAAGAAAATGAGAGATTGGAATTTCATAATATTAATAAAATAATAATAAAAATAATAATGAAGCAATCTCTAGGAAATCATAAAACTTTAGATTGGAGCAAAGATGAGAATTCTTCTAATGAAATTTTGCCATCATTATCATTATCGCATTCTTTTAAAATTTGTATCCAAATCTGGTTAAATTACAGTAAAATACCTCATCATCAATATCACCCATAACATTTTAAAGTTCTGCTTTGGAAATGTAATTATCACCATCTAGGTCAATGACTTTAAAAGCTTATTCCATTTTTTAAACAGATAAAAACTTTTCTTAATTCATGGCAGCAATTATAAATTCTAAAAATATAAAGAAAATAAATAATACCAGTAAAATCAACTTCTCCTGAACGATTGATATCTACTAATTCCATTATATGATCAACTTAAATGATAGCTAATTCTTAATTATTGGTAACTTAAGTATAACCATCAATTAATTCTTATCTTGATAATTTGCCATCTCCATTTTTATCAATAGCTTTAAATGTTTTATTTAATTCATCTTATTCTTATTATGTAATAATTTAAGTAGCCATAAAAGTTAAGACTGCTTATTTAAATTTGCTTTTAGCATGAAATTATTATAGATTTAATAATGCTTTTTAATTAATGACATTAGAAGGAGCATTATTTTAAATCCATTTATCATTATAAGCTTCTTCAGCACTTAAACGTTTAGTAGGATTAGGATTAAGCATATTTTTAATAAGATTTTATGCATCTTAACTAATATGAGACCAATCTTCATGATCAAATTTTAATTGAGCTGCTTTAACTCTTTTAAGAATATCAGATTCACTTCTACCAGAGAATGGAGGATATCCACATAATAGTATGTAAAGTATAATTCCGCAAGACCAAACATCACATTTTTCATTATAATTTTCCAATAATACTTCAGGTGCAATATAATAAGGTGTTCCTAATCTTTTAGTCATTCTTTTTCCAGTTTCAAATTTTCTAGAAGTTCCAAAATCAATAACTTTAAGATCTGCATCAGGTGAATCAGATACAAAAAGCAAATTCTCTGGTTTTAAATCTCTATGTACAATCTTTTGGTTATGACAATACCAAACAGCACTTAGTATTTATCTCATTAATTCTGCTGCTTTTTTTTCACTAAAGAAGTTCATACTCTTAATTCGATCAAATAGTTCTCCACCAGAACAATACCTATCCTCAATGAATTTAGTACTTACTCCGTTACCAAATAGTAATTTTTATCATCTTCGAATAATTCATACAATTTTACAATGTGTGGATGGTCTAAATTCTTTAATATATTCATTTCAGAAAATAATTTCTCTTTATCTTCTTTTAAAATAGATGTCTTCTTTAATTATTTCATAGCACGATCTAATTTTGTCTTTTTATGTGTCACTTTCCATACTTTTCCAAATGCTCCTTCTCCTAATACTTTTCCAGTAATGTAATGATCTGATATTTATCCTTTTTTCAATTAAACAAATATATCTATATTAACTTGTAACTTTTAATCCATTTCTAATATAATCTAATAAATTCTTACTCTGTAAGGATTGCTATTCTAAAATTTTCTTTCTATCAGTATCTGAATTCTATCTTTCTAATAATTATTCCAATTCTTTTGAGACTTTCATTGAAACTTTCTTAGGTTCTTCATATACTTCCTTTCCATCATCTGATAACTTTTATTTCAATCCTAACCCAAAAGTTTATGCTGGGATATATGCTTAACGTTTGCTTGCTGTTGTTTACTTAACAACTCTCTTTTAAGAACCTTAATCATTATCTCCAAAAGCTGCCGATTGAACTGATAGTTCTATTTGATCAAATCAATTATTATTCATACCATCTTAAGTTTATAAATTTGTCTTACAACAACTTGCTCCCATTTTTTAATTTATTTATTTCTTAAAAACCAATATTATACTCCTATCCTAAATTATTAAAATTACTAACTAAATCAAAACTAATACTTATTTTATATTCATCCAACATAAACTCATTAATCAAATTATTACAATTAGAAGTACTAATATATATTAATCTTTATTTATTAAATTATATTTTATAAAAATATGAGAAACTAATTACAAATTCTATCAAATATAATCAGAAGAAACTATTCATTTAAGATTAATTTATCAAAGTATTTTTTTACTTTACCTTAAACTTTATTTTAAATCTCACTATATTTCCATTTTTAATTTTGAAGTTTTCAAAAATAAAATAAATAAGTTAATTAGAATTCTTTGTTTTGTTTTGTATGCCAATATTAAAATGAAATATGTTATATAAAAGTTATTCAAACAAGTAATAAAATTAAGAAAATAAATAAAAAAAAGCCAGAAATATTGATCGATTCCTAAGCTTAATTTTTCTACTTTCCAAAGATTTACCTAGATTATTTCATAAGAAGAATACCAAGAAATTTTAGAGATAAATATATATAAATAATGATTATTATAAAATAATGTTCAAGTATAAATCATTTTGGAGATTATATGCTTTCAGTGTAGTTTTAAGTATTCCATAGATAGTTACTGGTTATTTGTGTGTATAGTATTTGGAGTTTCCTTTATTGGATTATGAATGGTTTTATATTGGATTAGCTTTAAGTTGGCTATTTTCACCATTGCTGTTATAAGTCACTAGATTCAAATTAATGGGAATAAATATAATTATGATTACTATAGCAATTATTGGTATATCTACTGAAGATTACACTTCTTAATTACTCTATAAGATTTATACATGCATTATTGGGATGTTAGAAGGCTGTGATTGGTTATTGACGATTAGATTTATTAGAGAGTAAGTTGGATGGGAAGAAGAAAGATCGATATATCTCAATAATAATCCTTTAATCTTTTTTTTCTTTGGCACTTTGTTAAGAATTAGTTACATAGAGGACTAGAATTTTGAAGACTAATAAATTGTTATTAGTAGTCTTGTGATTTTAACTAATTCTATAAGATTGATATCATTCCTCACTGTTTTTAATAAACAAAGTCTAGAGTATTACTATAGAAAATTTAAAGAGCTTTAAGGCAGGGTTATTATTAGGAATTAATTTTAAGGAAATATTAAAGAAATAGAATACTTTTATATTTCTAACAATGAAGCATATAGCCAACTAAATATGAAGACAAGTACATTATTTAAATAATAATATCGAAATCGTTTTCTTGGATGTATAATATTAGCTCTTTTATCTTGGTTGCAATTGAACTATCACAATAATATAAAGAAAACTAAAGTAGTTTTAGAACACCCATTACTCTATTTATTTCCTGCTTTTCTTATAATCGCCATTCTCTGCTAAATCATCTATAGAAAATTTAGTATAATTTTAATTAAATTCAAGATGTCAGAAATATAATGATATTTTTCAATATAATATTATTAATTTTGAGTGCTCTTCAGTTAAGTAAATTTATTGTGAACTTTATGCAAGTCTTAGAAATAATCATAAACTGTGCAATGCTATATAGTTTCATCAATTATTATATTGGACTTAATTTACTTATTACATAATAATTACCTTATAAAGGTATAACATATACATTAAATTTGACTTTCTTATCATTGTGTTTAGCACAGCAGATTAATCAATTGTTGAAATAAAAGTAAGAAAATGATGAAAATGATTCAAGACTTTATTACATATCATTAAGTGCAAATATAATATGTTTTCCAATTCTATTGAAATTAAAGAATGTAAAATTCTTGAGAGAATGTGAAATCTAATAGGTTTATAATTGAAATTCGTTTTATTATTTAAACATAACCTATATATTATTAAAAATATATGATAAAGTAATCACACTCAACGTATGCTGTAATTTGTTTAGTGGCATTCTCTCAAGGAGTAATCAATTTATCAGAGTTGGCAATATCCTATTTGTTAAAAGAAGATTACGGAATGAATCCAACAGAAATGACATACATATAAGGCATTATCAGTATACCATGGGTTATAAAACCATTATGGGGTCTTTGTACAGATTTACTTCCAATTTTCAGTTACCGGAGAAAGAGCTATCTCTTTTTATTTGGTCTTATGGGGTTTGTATTGTTTTATGCACTTTCAATTTATGGTACAAAGGATGCATTAACAGGTGTCTCAATTTTATTGAGCATTCAAATTTGTATAGCATTTTGTAACGTTGTTGCAGGTATTATTATTTTACAATGAAGAGGCTCTATTAGTTGAGATTTCCTCAGGCAATGATAGTTCAACTAACAATGTCAGTTTGTTTTTTGGTTTTAAAGCTTTTGGAACCCTTATGACAAGCTATCTTAGTGGTTATTCTTTGAAATATTTACAGAAATAATAAAGTATATAGAAAACCTAGTTTAGTATTTAGAATAACTTCCATATTTCCTTTGATAATTGCAGGAGCATCTATATTTTTGAATGAAGGTTAACACAAAGACACAAATATTAAGAAGTAATTATAAGAATTACATCGATTCTTAAATATCAAAGCTATATATAAGCCTATTGTGTTTATTTTTTGTTTTATGTTGTAACCATCAACTTCAACAGCAATGTTTTATTTTTAAACTGTCTATTTACGTTATACAGCCGAATTTTTGGGTAAGATTAAGTTCCTATTTGCTTTGGCTAACATCACAGCTGTGAGTATATTTAATAGATATTTAAGAAATTATTCATTTAAATCTGTATTTTTCGTAACAACATTAACTTACAGTGTTGTAAATTCGTTACAGATTTTACAAGTTACAAGGAGAAATGTAGATTTAGGAATAAGAGACGAAGTATTTTCATTATGTGATACTTTGCTTATGCAATTAGTAGCTGAATTAAATATGCTTCCAATTTTAGTATTAGCATGCAAGATATGTCCATCTAAAATAGAAGGAACAATGTATGCATTATTAATGTCTACTATCAATTTAGGATAATTGGTAGCTAGATAGATTGGAGGAATATTAATGTACTTTATGAGTATAATATATGATAATTAACAATAGATATAAATGAAGCCTCATTCGAGAATTTGTGGATAATGATCATAATGACAAGTGTATATATTTTGATTTTGTTACCATTCCTCTCAACGATTAAGGAAAAGGAGATGATTGAGTCAAAAGAAATATACAACAAATAAGATTTTGATGAATAACATATTTTTGAAAAAGGATATGAAAAATTAAGTTTATCATTTGTAGATAGTTGATATTTTTATATTACTAAATTAATAATTTTTTATTTTGCACATTTCATTAAATGGAAGAGAAAATGAATAATAGCAGGTTTTTGGAGAGTAAATTAGAGTTAACAAAATGGTGATAGTTTAGATTATCAAATAGGTAATTAATATAAACATTTTAGATAGAGATTACAGCTCTTATCTTAAAAGACGGAATTAAATTATTTAGGTAAGTAGTTCCGATGATATCAAAAATAAATGGTTATCTAAATTCATAATAAGATTGAAACATTGATATTGTATATGAATTTCCCTTTAGCAGTAAAAGAAAAAAAAATGAGAATTGTTTTTCAATCAGATTTAATAAATGTTTACATCTTGAATTTTAAAGGTGCAGATTAAATCTTAAAAATAAGTTTAGACTTTTTTAAGGAATATCGAGTGTAAAAAATATAAGTTTTAATAATTAAATGGAATTAGTGAATTCGTTATATCAATTAGTTTATATTTAAGTTGCATAAACTTAATTGAGATTACTTGTACTTGTAAATTGGTTGCCTTAGCATTTAATTAAATAGGTTATTCTTACATATTACCTTTAAGAGGGTGATAAAATAATGTAAAAAATTAAACATTGAATTTTTATAATATAATTTTAATGAAAATGTCACTCCTTCAACTTGAGCGTTCTTATTTGGATGCTTTATCAGAGTTTGGTGAACAAGCTCCTAAAACAATTCAAGCATGTGTGACTCTTATAGAACTGCT